TAGAACGCATCTTGGCCCTGCACACGGTAAACCAAACGTATGCCAGATACGTCACAGTACACACTGCACATGACGAATGTCACATACAAAACGCACAGATTCCACGGAGGAGATGTAGCATGCATGAAATCGCACACGAAACACACGTGCCCCAAAAACAAAGATCCCCCCTACATATAGCATGAACGGACTGTTGGGGGCACGTGCTGTTAGCGAGCACCTACGAAGGCCGGCACGGCACACGAGGGGGTGGGTGTCCAGCACCACGCCCGGCCGCCTTTGTCTCCCCAGTGGCGATGTTTACTACACACCGCACAGAAATACCACAGAGCACATCGAACAAAGATGGCCTCTGCATCGCGCGCTTTCAGATTTACGCTTCTGCGTCCGTCTGGAACGCTCTTCCTTCCGATATTAGGGGCCGTCCATAAATGACGTCACACACATTGGGGGGGGGTGGGGGGTCAGACATTTGTGACGATGTGTGACGAGGGGGTGTTTCAAAAATATGACGTCACGTCAAAATGCGCAACTTTAAATAAATATGAATTAAATAGAATTGTTATAACACTAATTTGATACATTTCCATTATGAACTATTTAATTATTTAATTTTTACTAAGGTCACCTTTTATTTATACCATGAAGGAGCATTTTGCTTCTCCATGGGAGAATGGAGAAGCATACATTTTGTAAATTTTTTGAATGGTTGTTATTAAACATTTTGATTCTAATGATTCTACCAGAGTTTTTCATTCTGTGGAATGAATGTGATTGTTATAATTGTACTCTCCATTTTGCTTCGTTCTACTACAAAGTTTAAAGTATTTTTTTAATAGTTATAATTACTTTAAAATTTTATAATTATAAGAGAATTTCAATATATTCTGAACATCTGCAGTTTTAGTTAGACGTTGAATATTTTCAAGTGAATGTTATGCTAAATTTCAGCTTTCCAACGCCTCCTTTTTAATAAATGTTTTCTCCTACAACATCAGAGTGCAGCGCCACATTAAATACGCACTCCAATGACAATAGCTTAAAGTGATTTGAAGCATTTTTATTTTCAAAATGTAAATATGTTTTTTTTTGGGGGGGGACAGAGCTTTGTGACGTCATATTTGAGGGGGGTCTGACTTTTTGTGACGCCGTGTGACGAGGGGGGGCGGGGGGGGTCAAAAATCGGCCAAAATCGCGTGACGTCATTTATGGACGGCCCCTTAGGAATCCACTTTTAAATCATCCACATTGAAAACTCATTTATTGAGAACTACTTTTTTGTGTTTAGTTTGTTGTCCTTCCCCCACACCTCCAACTAGCGCGGTTGGCTACGTACGATGCCAACGAAGTTCAACAACAACAACAACAACCGCCATTCGCCACTAAGTGGCGGTGACGTCACCACGACGCTTGTGCCAGGCCATGTGCACACACACACACATACGATCTTGAACATTAACGCAGGCCTTTAACCCGTGCATTATTGGATATTGTTATATTGTTATCTATGACGACCAACGCATAGCAGCCCAAACAACATTATTGTATTCTTAGTTTTTTAGGCAAAGTCACGTTGAAGGTAAACAACAAAATAATAAAATATATATAAAACAATTAAAAACTCTCACGACGTTTCGACCATAACTCAGTTATTTTTTAATTTTTTTATATATTTTATTATTTTGTTGTTTCCCTTCAACGTGACTTTACCGAACAAACTAAGAATATGAATTACTGCAGTCACGAAAGCTTTAAATAAAAATTTAACATTATTGTAAGCAATAGCAATTCTGTCTAAAGCACGGTTGGCTATGTACGGTGTGAAAGTACAACGCACATACACAAGTATTGTAGGTGCACTTCTTTCGCACCGTACATAGCCAACCATGCTCTAAACCTAACGCCATTTCTGCCCACGCTCAACATTCACAATGGCGCATTCGCAAAAAAAACAATACTCGTATTTTAAATGTTTGGTACCGGTATCCCACGAGAGTATATAAAATATTAAAAATGTTTACAATACCAGGATTGCTTTTTCGCGAACGTGCTCTGGCTTAGGTCACAGGAGCCTCCTTGGGGGCATCGCAGAAGCTCCGATGGTGAACGGTGATGAGGTGCGCGAGTGAACGGGAAACTCGCTCACTCGAGGACGACTCGATTGTAGGCCAAAGCTCAAACTCTCTGCATTCTCCTTGTGTGATTATCAAAGTATTATGTAAATATGACGATATGAACGGTTAAAGGCCCGTCATCAGCATTTAAAAACATGTAACGAGCAACCCACGCTTCCATGCGGACGTAATTGTCCATCCCAGCCAGCCAGCCAAACTTAAAATCTTAAATATAACCCTGTCTCTCTCCACCTTCCTTTTGCCTTCTTTGTACTGAATATCCCATGTGATCTTAATTTCTCACTTTGTCTATGTTTCCATCCGTTTCTCTATCACTCTCTCCCGTCTTCTACCTCGTCCTCCCTCTACTACAGCCCTCTCCTCAAACAGCCGCTGTCAGTGGCGGCGACGTCAACACAGCGCCTGTGCCAGCCTAGGTGTACCTCGAGGCCACGTGAATTGTCAAAGGCTCGCTGACAGGAGGTTATGAAGTCACGGGACAGACCCAGGTGCTTTGGGTTGACAAGACAGATGACCGATAGCTGTACAATGTGCTTCCTACTGTGCGAACTTGCTGCGTTTTTAGTCGATTGGTGCCCCACTTGTTGTTTGTGTTGCTCCTCTGCCCTCTGCTTCGGTTAGAGGGTGGACTGCCTAAATCTTCCATAGGGGCGTCTTTCACGAGCCCTCTTCCACAGAGGCCGATCTTGACATCGTTGTTACGTCGTTGGCAAGTCAACTCAGGTCCACATCCTCCTCTACCACATCAGTGCATCTCTTCTCCAGAATGTGCCGCACCCGTTTAGCCCGCTCTATATCAGGCCAAACAGAAACTGATTGGACATGCGGTAACTGGGCATGCGGGGCTACATAACCCAGCCAACGCAGCCCCGAAAGTCACTGATGGGGACTGTGTCCAGATCTTTCAAGGATTTAGTGAGCTCCTCACTCAATCCAAACTGGTTAAACAGATCGTAGGCAGGCCAGCCTGAATGTTTTAAAACGGCATAGATGCTGACAAAACGCCCACGTCCTGGGTTGTTGCCAGTCGGTAGGAGTGGTGTGCTGATAATGCTATGGCGGGGCGGGGGGGGGGACTGGTATACGCTGCTGTTCTGCTCATGGCATGCTCGCAGCGTCCAGTGGCAAACGAAGGCTCGGCACGGATGCAGAGGGGGCTGGTAACCACTCCACTTTCAGTTAAGTTACCAAAACACCAAATTATCCTCCCTCCATTCTATCTCAACCCACTTCTCCTACCCCCTTTCTCTCTCTCACCTCTTCACCCACGTTCTCCTTATCCCCACTTCTCCGTTTGTCGTCTCAAGCCCTCTTGCCTCTCCCTCATTCTCCCTTCCACTGCTGGTCGCTTTCCCTCGCTCTCCTCTTTTGTTTTGCTTGATTTGATCTTCCATTTCACATCCTTTCATCCTCTCCCCGCCCGCACTTCTCCGTCTCTTACTCCCTGGGAACCCATCTTAGTGACCACCGGATATTTGGCATGCGCCATGTAAAACTGCTTAAAGTTCCACGTAAGATTATATTTAAACGCTCTTTGAAATAATTTGACCATAAGGCCTTCATACACAACATTTCAAATTCTGACCTACCTTCCGTCTGTAAAATTCCAATATTAGACAAAGCTTGGTCTTTCCTGCGAAAGACCGTGCTCTTCTATAGTTAACGAACATGCCCCTTTAAAACATTTAGAATCCGAGGCAATCAACCTCCCTGGTACAACTCAGATATTTCCCATTGCATCCACTCCAGATACGAAGATTGGAAACTGGCTAAGCAAACAAGTTTGGACTCAAACTGGGCCAAATGTAGAGTCCTCAGAAATTGCTGCACCAAAATTAGGTCGGCACACTAAATACCGTCAATTTCAAAATATCCTCCCTCCTGGATCAAAAAGATAATCCCAAACTTTTCTGGAAAGTTAGAGACCATTGAGAGTAAAATGTCTGAATATGGAGTACCGCCAAGCCTTTTGCTCAATGGCAGTTGCCTTTTTGATCAAAATGCAATTATAAATGGATTGAACTCACACTATACATCTGCAGGCCGCATCTTCAACACCGACATCCAGCCCTGTGACATTACTGTTCACCCGCCTCTTGACCTACCCTCCTCACTACCCCTTAATCAGAAATGTAATTTCCTTTCCTTCTCGGAATGTCTAACCCTTGCTCTTCAAGCTATGGTGTTAATGGCCTGTTCACCTTTGCCTTCCATCTTGTGGGGACCTCCATGAGAAAACCGATAGCTTATGTATTCAACCTTTCCATTCGAGAGGCATCACACCCTTCATCCGATTAGCATGGCTGGCTACGCACGGCGCGAACAAAGTTCAACATGCGTACTTTCTGAATGGAAAACGCTCTCGTGCGCCCTCGTGATGAAGGTGGCATTACAGATGACCCTAACAATTAACGCGTGGCAGGTAGGCCCCTCGATGTAAACAAGACTTAAAATTACCGCCCACAACGCCGTCCTGTTTTGCCTGTCACCAACACTGCTTTCCTGACAGGTTTTAGATAAACCTAGGGACACCCGTCCGACTGAGGGGGGAAAAAAAGAAGTTGTTTAATTAATGTAACCGTGTTTTACTGATTGATAAAAGCGGGGCTCACATGCGCGACTGCTCTCCCCCGCCCCGCCCGTGAGTTTGCGGGCCTAGTGGGGGGGAGAAATGAGCCTCCCCTCCCGACTCGCCAAATTGAACCGCCGTTGGAAAATTTTCCAACACTGAAATCAGGACTCAGGAGGGTCAGCAGAGAACAGCACCCCACCCCCACGTGAGCATGAAGACACTGCCAGCAAAAAAAAATCTCCAACCTCATTCATTAATCATTGTTAAACATTTCAAACAAAATGAAACTAATATTTACTTTTCCATCAGGGCTAAACCTTTATTAGTATTTCCATTACTGCAGAAAATGTTTCAACACGCTAAATTCAGACATATGACTGGAGTACATATGCACGTATAACATACACAATAACTGTGGCAATGTCTGCAAAGTGCATTTTTGTAAGCAACCAGACTTGGAAACATAAGCAAAAAAACGCATTTTGAAAATAACCAATGAAAAATAAACTTTGTTAATCGATGTGTAAACTTCCAAATAATTGTGTTACTTGGTCATAAACGAGAGTCATTCAGATTAACAGAGACCGAAGAAGCTTAAAATGCCAGTCTCATATCGCTATATTTGTAGACCCAGTGAAATACTGTATTTAAAAGCAACCTTTAAAAAAAAACCTTTTTTTTATTTCGACAGTACATATTTTAATTAGTGGTCCTGTCCCATTTACGAATATTACTTTTTTCTTTTCAATGTTTTCGGTTTCAAATTTGTGCACTTAAAAAAAATCCATGCTTAATCCTGTAGCTCGTACAACATTTTGTTGGGTGGGGGGCGGCAAGCGCTCGAGTGATGTCATCTCCACGACACATTGTCAAAGTTCGCTGTATAATTTACCCAAGGGACTTTCTATAATTGTGGTTATGTAACAATAGGCGTAGCTGTCATAAGCACATATTGGCCAAGCATCATTAATGACCGACTCTGAGCAACTTTTGGTTTCTGGAAAAAAATTGGATCAATGTATTATTGTAAATGCTTAACCTCACACGAATGAATAGGTGTACACTCTCATCGATACATTATCCACACATGCTTATAATGGTGAGATAATCTACCCTCTTCACAACCTTGTTAAACAATGCAACTTTCATGCTGAACACGTGAAAGAGTAAATAATTTACACAAAAAGCTCAGAGAACAAGAGGCCACTTTGTTAGGATCGATGCCTTGTGAACGAAATGGTCCATGGGCCAGAGCCGAAACCTGGCACCACCTAAGTCGTGTCGATGTATTTAAATATAAGCAATACGAGTTCATTATTTGTTAACCTCACTCGTTTAAAATGTGTTATCACAGACTTCACAGTTGTCCACAAAAATACACTGGAACCGCTTAATGTAATGCCACCTAAGGTGTTACTGACGTGGACGAAAGAGGCTTGTTCTTAGGTACAAGTCGAGGATTTCCCAGTTTAGCCAGTGACATTCCAGAGATTCCATTTGTTGGCCAAAAATATTGAACATCTATTGATACATTTCACTTGTCAAGAGCCTAATTCCTGAGTGTTACTATACTAGATGGTGGCACTTTTTTCCATGCTACTGCCCATACAGCAGCCAAAAAACAGGTTTTCTGATACAATGTTTCAATGAGAACCTCCAAAAAAAATTGTCCAAGTGGTCTCATAGGTTGAGCCACGACGCTTATGTAGCGTTAAACTGAGGTCCTTTCTGATATTGGTTATAGATGTTGGGTTATCATTAGTCATGCATATTAATGAAAATATAGTTCGTTCCACCTTCTACTCATGAACCCACTGCAAAAGTTACATTGAAAATGTAGTCATATATTTTAGAGTACGTAGCCCAAAATCATACTTTCATGCTTATCACTTGACTGTCGGAAGTTGATACGTGGTCCCTCCCCCCATTCAAGCTTGTTATGCGAACTTATATAAGCAAAGGTAATATTTAGATATTTATATGAGGAGTTTCTCAAAACATTGTCATGTTTTAAAACATTTGCATATTGGGAGAGGGTGAGAAATATTTTTTTATTCAATCTGTACCTTGGACTTTATTTGCCCGATGTCTGTCTCAAAGTTTGGACTAGTTCAGCGAGGTGACACTACCAGAGAATGCTTTCCGCCTTTTAATCAAACCCTCATTTAAAATAGCGACAAATATATTTATAGATGGCAATGAATCAAGCCAACTCCACTATGAATGATGATAGCATTGCAAAGTAAAATTTGCAACACCCTTTGCAACATTGTCAGCATTAGGGTAATGTGCTTAAGTTCAAGTACATTAACATATTTATATGAATCATCTCTTATAGGGAACTCTCTTTAAAAACACTACACCCACAGGTTCCAGAAGTCATGAGCAATATGTATTGGAGAATCACTTAACGCGTTATCTTGTTTTACGAGCAATATGTGAATTCGTCACACACACACATAAAGCTGCCATATAAAACAAAAAATATACTTTTTTAACATGTCTCTGTTTGCTGTTGGCGGTTTATGTCGTTGCTATCAGACCAAGGTTAATGCCACACACACACACTGCAAGGTATTATTTAAATGCCACTCCATAACCACTGTGTATTCCAGAATGCCCAGGTCTGGTCACCAGGAGAGTTCTGTAAATGATTATTTTAAATAGCATTGTATAATGTAATTGATGTTATCATTTAACAAGTGTGCAAGACTCATGCACATCTCTTAGTACACAACGTTAAATTAAATACAACCACATAAGACTCCTTTAAACTGGTTTATGGATAAGTTTAGCTGTGTTGGGACATTTGTGTTTTGCCTAGTGGCACTGTGGTCAAAGAGCTTGGCTCACAGTCTGCCTTTGGGCTGGAGGTCATTCACTTTCCTACGAAGACGATACTGATAAATGTACCATAGAGGTAAATTCTCACTGTATGGGATGTGAAAATGAGTCCCCATCTAAATTACATAGGCAATTATTATTCCACGAGACTCCTTGATAATGATAAATTATATTGATAATGACATGCCGGCTAAATCCCCAAGAGTGGCCAATGAATTCTCTAGCCAAGGGAATTTTCCTCCCATCATCCCCACACATCCCCCATCTTTGACAACTCCAAAATTAGATGAAATATAAATGCATTGGGACATTCCTGAGGCAAACCCCATGCAATACACATTTTTATTCAAAGTTTAAGTGGTAATATTATGCTGTTATCATCCAGCCAGATGGGAGCTGTGGTCAGTCGGAATTAAGTTTATATGCAATCACCTCCAAGATGAATAGAACGAGTACCATCTTGTTGGTGAGTAGTGGCTCTCCTACGGTGAGAATGACCCACCGTCACGAGGTGGAATTTGCACCACCGTTTTTTTAGGGCCACTATTAAGGATAATCATTGCGATGCTATACATTAAACCAAGAAGTGTTTTTCGTGTTTTTGGCAAAAAATAAACGCTGCGAAACAAACGAGGTTATCGCGATGAGGAAACGGAACACAAAGCGAGCAACAGCCCCCTCTGTTGTCTACACACGGTGAGAGCAAGACGTGAAACGGCTGGATCAGGGCGCACTGAAAGCAAGTGGCGTTTAAGATCTCAATCCTTGCAGTGCGATGCATAGAACACACGGATGCTCGGAAAAGCCATTCACACACAAGGCACTTCGTCTAGTTCGAGGAAAAAATAATTTTACGAGTGTAAAAAATAAATGTTAATCGTAATAATGGTGATAAAAATGATAAACAAAAAAACATTACACATCTTAAAATACACCATATGCAACAGGACCATATTATACTTATCATTCATCGGCCACAATAACTTGTTCCAGTTTGGGTATAATCGTAACATCGTTATGAGCGTATAGTATGCGATGACGTTCACTACCGGCTCCCAGCGAGTAGGTAGAGACGCACTCACCACTGCAGCACACACACACACACCACCATCACCACAACAACGGCCGCGTCTATTCACAAATGTACAACGCTGAAATGTAACAGCTCCAAAGCAGCGACGAGACGGCACGGGTGAGAGCGGGGGTGGGGGGGAGGTTTGCAACAGCGCGGAAGCAAGCAATGGGACACGCAGCATCACCCATGCCGTATCCATTGCCAACCCATTCATCCGTCATGCGACGGACGAGCAAATTCAATTTCTGTCCCGTCTGTCTCTGCACGCACATCTCCAGACGCGCGCGCATGCTTGCAGGCACGGGCATACGACGACGCAATGTGCGAGAGATGCGATAGAATTCCACCGAAAAAAAAAACGATTGAAACGTCGGCACGCTCCAGCCACACAACCCGTCCACGACAGTTGCCTCTCACCAATAAATGGACGCAGTTGGTTTATTATAAGAACATTAGGAGCGGTTTTACTACGACGAGCGTTTGCTTTGTGTGGTGTCATGTTCTTGGTATCGCTTTGTCTTTCCTCTCGAAATCTTACGACTGCCTCTCATGCATATATACTTACACAGTTTATTGGAATAACGTAAAAAAAAACATGCCAGCACGTTTCTTTTTTTTAAACGCAATGTAATGTCTTTGCAGTTTCAACATTTTCAATCAGCCCACGTGGTAAAAGAGCTATGTTACTCCCTTAACCCCAAACACAAAGAGTAATAATAACTCGTATTAGGAGAGAAAAATGATCGTTGTATACCGGTGTGAACTGAACAGCTGCTGCATGCATATATCTAAATGCAGTGTACGTTGTAAAATCAGATGCATTGCAGTTAATATACCAGAGTAACAATGAGGCTCCAAGCTCCAGGTGAATGATGTGGGGGTGCAGATTTGCCTCAAGGTAAGATTACATTCCATGTTAATGCGTGATGTCAGAAATCACTTTTTTTAGACAGGTACACACGTCAAACACCCTTTTGCGATAATTGGATATATATTTTAAACATTCCTATAGATACACCGTTTGAGAGAGCTCTACTTGCATCCGAATCTTTCGAGTTAAAAAGATTACCCAGCCAAGGAATTTAATCTAATCCTTCTGGTCGCACAAAACAACAGTAATTCAACCTTATGATGAATGTAATCATGCAACTTGGTAGCTTGGTCACGGTGTAAAGGGGGATTTAAAATGGGCCCGTAATCGTTCCAGAGTTGGTACTTCGTGAGAGGATGACAGTGGGTATTCTATAGAGTGACAGCTGTCCCCCTCCATAGCAACGTGGAATTTAAATCAGTGACACAGGGCTATAAACAGAGATGAGCAGTTAGCTTCCCATGCTTGCTCAATTGATTACTCAATTAAAATTGTTTGGATATCCCATTATTTGATTGGGCAGTGAATACATTGTGATCTCTTGTGATCATGGTGGTGTCAATGCTAAATATTGCAGTTACGCAGTGCGTGAAATGGCTTGGCGGCTTTTCCACGTCATGTTTATTGCCGTTCGGTTTTTAAAAAAGAAAAGGTCATAACCTGGATACTGTTTAAAATTACGGCACACACGCTAAAAAAAAGCACTCGTTGCAAACGCGCACACGGCACGCACACACGACACAAAGCCATCCGTAATTATTACAGCTGTGCACGACATTTCCACTGCCATCACCGTCATAATCATCACACGGTAAGATCGCGCAGTATAATTGCAGGATTATATTGTACGTAGAACAGCATGTCCAACAACAGATGTGCTTCCCCATGCTGCAACATGGTTCCTTGCTCCCCTGGTAAGACAAGACACAGATCCCGAAAGTCCGCTGCTAGATGTCCCTCGTTGCAGGCCGTTCGCACTCAAAACACTTTAGCGCTTAAAAACTGCGTGCAGTCACCAAGCGAAACACGTGCGCTTTCCTGCAAGTGTCCGCAACGCCTCGTTTTACCTGCAACCGACAACGTAGCCCGTGTGAGCTGACGTGTCACGTTACTAGGATTGTCTGCTTACTCGCGAGAGAGAGAGAGAAATGTCAGTGTTTGGGGGGGGGGTTACTCCAAAAAGTCATCAGTTTGATTTCCAATTACTTACAGGCAGGTCTTAAATTTAGCCGTAGCTGTCCAGCGCTGAGCTCTGGGGGAGAAAAAAAAAACATTTCCCTACTTGACGGACTGGAGCATCGCCCTGAGGATCGGTGGGTCCTGGGAAATGTTTGAGGATAAATTACATCCTGCTCCTATGTAATATAATGTATTCTCGTGTTGGCATTTGCAAGAAGCAATCTGTTTACTTGATGACACGATTACTTTAATTAGATCAACATATGGTACCGTATGTTGCTATGCTACGACTTAAGGCTTTGTACAATGATATACTTTCCGAATATTCATTGACGTCTGTCACCACAATGATTCAGACTTCTGACATCATACCCAGTTTGTTTTTCAAATTATCTTAGAATTATGACATGAATTCAATCGCAAGAAAGCAACCCACCGATACTACGTGCAGTACCGACAATTTAATTACACAATGGAAATTAGGAACTATCACGGTATTACTGGTATCTGGCTTTTATAATTGCAAGGTACTTGTACAAGGTACTTGTAGTCACACTTATACCCAATAGATGGCGCTGTAGTCTTGCATTGCGGTATACGGGCAATCTGGCTCTTATTTTCGAAAAAAGCTCCGTTACATTCTGTCTGATTTTCCACATTCATGCAGTTGTTTTCAAACATTTAAATACACTGAAGCAAATATTGATGATGTTCAGGACATTCTGGCTTTCAAATTAACCCTACACACCTATAATTACTCTGAACATCCTATATACCATATATCAATTACCTACGACTGGGATTGAGAAGCCAGTGACATCACTTTTGAAAGGGAGATCTGAGCTCAATAAGCTCTCAAATGTCATTAAGGGTAAAACAAAATATCTGTATAAATCTATACACCAGTACAAGGGTTTACTGCGAAGCATACCAACACATAGAATGCTGTTTGGAGTGTAAACAGTAACCTTATTAACTACCGTATATAACACAACCACAATAATGTTGTTTTCCCTTCAGGTTATTGCGAAGGTAACGTTTTTTTAAAATGTATAGAATAAGAGTTCTAGGTAAAACAATGTTGTATAGCTGCAGGTGGCAATGTTACCATCCTGGAATCATTCCTGCGGACAACAAGAACAACGCCGATCATTGCGGCAGGCGTGGTGCTTGGGAACAAAAGCGACGGCTGCGTGAATTTGTGCACCGGCCTTTAGTTCCGCGCTCTCCAAACGTCTCCACTCACAATTTCAAGAAACCGTGGCTTGACATACGGACTGAGCAATTACACGTTCATTCAAAGGCAAGATGCCACCGTGCCTCGACATCAAATTTTCCTTCTGCCAAGTCTAAACATTACCTCGATGGTCTCTGCTCTTTGGCTATCCCACACAATTTCGGGTTCAAGCTCTTTCCTGTCGATCGTGGATTTCTGAGCGCAACTCCAACGGCTTGCTTTTGCCACCAGCCCTCCGCACAACACGAAGCCAAGAGCGTTTCACCATTCCTAATTTATAATCGCATTGAATCGGAGGTCACTGTACACTTGCCTCATGTACATTCTCAACAGTTCAGTCGCAAGGGCCCAACACTCAACGTACTTTTTTTTATCCATCCAATTTTGTTCGGTGATCTAGAATACATATGCAGATATCTACTCATATGCTGAAGAGGTATATTATAGATACACGTAGATATCTGAGCAGGTATGCAGTGCATCATAGCAAGAGACCGACTATCAGAATAAATGCTGTACAGACTGTACTATATTGTGGCCTAATATTGCTGAATTTAGAAATGTCGCTTTTAATATAACCCAAAAGAGTACTCTTTTAGAGCCACTCAGTGTCTTTCTCCATCATTAATGGCCAATACTGGTCTATCACGTGTGGCTAGCAATGTATTACTACGATGGTCAATCACTTAATGCAATGCCATAGCTGCCAATGTTACTGTTGGCTGAGTGGTATTGTGGTTAGAGTGCTAGAAATGTCAGGTTGACAGTTCAATTCCCAGTATGTGGTTTACTCACCTAATTATCTCTCTGGGTTTAATAAAACAAAAAAAACCTAGTATCCACATTGTCGGAAGTCAAGATGTCCCATGGAAAACTTGGCCCACTCCATAGAAATGTGGAATTACTTCACCACTGGCTGAGAGCATGCAATTGAGATGAGGACTGTCCATATATCATTTGAGCGGGGAGACACCTAGACCTCAAAATTCTGCAAGAACAAAGCACGTGACACATCTCAGAAAAGCAGATGAAACGCATTTGTTTTGACCGACATACATAAAAGCAATGCATATATTTATAAATATATTTATAAATATATGCATGTTTTTAATTACCAACGTTGCAAAGCTGTTTGCATGTTAGAACAAATCCCTGTCAAGCAATACGGTGGTCTGTGTGCTTCTGTGTTTTCCCTTGGCTTAATGGCACATGGAAAAAACTCCAAATTCTTCAACTCCACATGAGGGCTTTCGAGAGTCTAACTTGGCACGCATTTATTTACTGAACGTCAATGCTGGATCACATTCGGGTTTTATGCTGTACTAAGGGGCATGCACTTCAGGCATACAATGCATGGTGTCATCATCATCATCATTATACATATATATTTCTCAACCACAACCCCATTAGGGTTGATTAAATGAGTGATTTTATTTTCAGTCAAAAGTGGTTGTCCTATGCAGTGACTGATCATCACCATAGCAATGTGGAATTTCCACCAATGGCTCAGGGCTGCCAACGGAGATGAGCACTGCTCCATACTCACTTGAGCGAGGAGACTCTGACTTGACCTACTCATATACTATTCCAGAGAGTGTCATTCTCACAAACAACACTTAGCAAACAACTTGTACAAATTCAATTCCGTCACAGTCGACGCTTTGTCCGTTCCGTCTCCGGCGAGACGCGGAGCAGCTGCCCGCACTTGTGCGTTTCTCAGCTTAGCAACCCGCACCCCGCCTACATTGTGCACGACCGATCTCCGGGCCCGCCCGGGTAACCCTTTGCTCCGGGCGGGGGCTGCGCGCCTCCAACAGCCGCCCCGGGTCCGGCCAACGAAGGAGACCCGGCTCCGGGGCGTCCGTGTGCGGCCGAGGGCTTAGGCCTGAGCACGGGCGGGTGAGGCTGAGCCTGCGATCCCGGCTTGAACGTCGACAGAATGTCCGTGCCGCCGCCGCCGCCGCCGCCGCCGCCCGTGTTGGTGCTCGTGCTGCGGCGCAGCTGCCCGGAGCTGGCAGGCGGCCCTCGGCGCTCCGATAGCTGCGCCACACGGAGCGGGCTGGGCGGCTCGGAGGAGGCCGACGGCGAATGCGCGTGGCCGTGCACGTGGCCGTGGCCGTGCGCGTGAGACGCCGAGCCGGGGGTCGCGGCGGCGCAGGCGGCGGAGGGGGAGGGGGAGGAGGCGGAAGCGGAGGGAGGCGGCAGCGGCGGGGGTAGCGGGCCGCCGGGGAGGGTGTCCAGCACCACGTCGGGCGCGTGCTTCGCCGAGCTCTGGCGTTCCAGCTCGCGCAGCTCGTTGAGGGCGGAGTTGAGCGTCTCCTCGATGTCCTGGTCCCAACACAAACACTGTGACTACACGGCAACACAGAGACATCCCAGCGCGACTCACCATCAGAAAGCTCAAGAATTCCAATCTCAGTAAATAGGTCAACGTAGCCCATCATTCCTATGGAGTCAGTAAATTGAGCATCGCTTGGTAGGAAGTCAGATAATACTTCTCGAGCATTGTAGCATGACAAGCCTACAAGGGTGCTGGAAGGGTTTGATAGACAGCGAACAAAGTGTCATGCTATCACATGCTCACTTTGATTTAACTTGTGGTAGGATTATTATTATCTGTAAAGCTTGAGGCCAGCCTTTCCAAAAATAATTACTATATTTGGCTTACCACGAAGGGGTACAAACATTATTGACGCTGGAGGAATTATGGAATTTGATTTCACAATGTTCACACTGTGTGAATCCGTGGTTTTTACTGACCACCAGCGTCACCTGGCCAGAAGATGTATGAATACAGTTTTTTTTTTATCTCCCATTTATATTAAAAATATCTATAATTACGTTTTAATTACATTTCCACTCTGAACTCTCCTAGCGAGCAATACATCAGCTTGTCAGAAAATGCCCCTTAAGTAGTGGCCTAGAAATGGCCAATGAGGGTACACTTTTTTGGAATACAATGCAACCCAATGAATAGTTGCCTTGCTGTCTGACGTGTTTTGGGGTTGTACTGCGTGTTGTCTGGCACAATGTCTAAAGTTTCGCTCCACATGGTAGCAGTTTATTCAGGAACTGAAATGAGCAGCTCATGATTATACAGCATCATTTAGCATTGATGGCCGCTGCGCTATATACAGGGTGTTTCAAAAAATGTCAACACATCTGAGAATTTTCAACAGCACCACGTGACATGTGCTGCTGCCTCCGGGCTCTGGAGACCACCTGGAGAAGATTCCAGGCCACGTGTTGACAACGATGACGAACAAGTGGAGACTTTGACTTTATTAAGCTTTTAACATTACATTTTGTTATCATGTTACAGTGCAAAACCGTCAGTCGTGCCGAATACTCATGATACAACCAGAAAAGACATCGGAGAGCCATAGAGCACAACCGCAATAGCCTACCTTACTATTATTATTAAGTTAACACGTACATTTTTGCAGTCAATATTATAAATCACAATTTAATGTTTGGTTCGGCCACGTAATCATCTGGCCAGTTTCATGTCATGCAATTCTCCACGACCATAACAATTTGTTGTGAAGCCCTCCGCAATAGAAATGTAGCCAGATCATTACATGTCCGAAGAAAAAAACCAGTCACGAATCATTTTCATGAAGACCGCACGCACGCACGCACGCACCTGTGCGATTGCCTCTGTGTCCAGCGACTTGTCCGAGAGGCTGCTGTGGCGGCCCCCGACTCTCCGCACGGGCGGGCTGTCGGTGACCATGTGGGGGTGCGCACCCCCCACCCCAGACACCGCCGGCACGCCCGGGGGGCAGCGCACGGCGCCACGGTCGGGACGGCCGAGTCCGATGGCCGGCAGGCCTGGCACGGAGACGGCATGCACCGCCACTCCGTAGCCGAGGCCGGCGCGACGCTTCTCCGGGCTCTCCGACACCGCCAGCCCGGACACTGCCAGCCCAGCAGAGCACGGCGCGTGAAAATAAAAAAAATATAAACGTCGTTCATTTATACGCAGGATAAAACGTCGGGAAGGGGCTACAGGTGAGGTCTTGGTCATTTCTTGCCCCGTGTCACTGATGGCAGAAAAGGCCTCCGGTACAGTGTTCTCTCTAGAGCTCTCCTCTAGAGGGTATTTGGCCTACTCTTCTACGTTGGATAGATGTCTTGGAAGAGGTGTGAGTACCCAAAATGTACCCCACCACACGAATCTGCTGATCGATTAAATTGAGCAAACTGATGTACACTGCTGGGGGGACCAGACGGAGGGGGATTTAAGAAATGTGCATCTTTGTTTCAACTGCCGCGCTGGGAGAACGAAGATAAAACCGGCGACCTCTGGATTGCAAGTCCAGTGTGCGAACCATGACAACACGTCGGCATACGCTGGAAGCGCAAGGCACTAGCTGAGGCTTTCATAGATAGGTGGTAATAATTGGAATAACACCATGAAATGAAAATGGGAACGAATGTAGGAGCAGAAGTAAAAATGGCACAAGATGAATGGAAATTGAAAGCACTCTGTGTGGGTGCGGCACTCTCTGGCAAGGCACATGCTACATGAAAAATAATGTATCCATGAAAGCCCTGTTAAATCTCAAGGCTGTTTTTCAGTAAGGTCCAGTGTTGCGATGCTTGGCCAATACCATTTTAATGAGTGTTTTCATGTAAGAGGAAACACGGTATCCAGATGAAACCGACGCATACGAGTGGGATAACATTTTCCGCACGCCCATTTCTGGGCCATCTAAGACCCCGCGAGCATATATTTTTTTAAATCTCGCTGCACATGCTGAAAGAAAGCCCTGCAAAAAAACCAGACCACAAAGCCTAGCACACCACTAAGCCCAGCAAAACATAAAAGTAAACACAAGCAAAATCGTGCAACCGATGAGAGAAACAAAGTATGGCACTGATGAGAGCCTGGGTTCAAATCTGTGTTTCAAGCATCCACAATTAAACCAAGTCCCCAGTGCAGAGATGATGATGGGCTCTGCCAATTAACTACATTTGTGTATTCACTTAATTTATCCTAGCCTATCTCTGGGGCTTAAAACAGCATATAAATTCAGATTTTTTTAATATATATGGTGAACCACCAATTAAATAAGTTATGTAAAACTATGTTGGCAACAGTGCACAAGCACAAATAACAAAACATAAACAGTGTTTAAAGTGCTATGCAGTGTTACATGAGAGAAGCCAATTTAAATAACTCCCTGAGTAGTTTCTATGAACATAGATCCTGGGAGACAAACGGAGCCAGGCAGTACCAGCCACACCATTCCCATATACTATGACAGGTTGAATAGGGGCTCACTTAAAGTACATGCCCCAACAGTCTCTTCCTTTAGATGCGTGTGGATGTATATGTGTGGGGAGCGGTAGTGTAGCGGTCAGGGGCGGAGCCAGGATTTCAGGCCGGGGTGACATTCAACAAATTTTAATTTCAAGAATGATTAGAGAGTCAGGCTGTTGAACTAGACGCCATCGGTTGGCGACACACTCTGACAATGCAGTTGCACGGAGTCCGCAACACCGAGTGTCGTACACTTATACGCAGAATGTCATCTCTGTCACCTCCCCTGGCTCCGCCTCTGGTAGCGGTTAGCATGCTGCGCTATCAACCCTGCGGCATGAGTTCAATTCCCGCTCATGGCCAACACCAGTGACGATTATCTGAACCGGTCCTGGGACTCCGCTAGGCCGACTCAGCCTCAAATCAGTACCTGCTGCAGTGTGTAAACATCGACAATAGGGAGTCAAAGGCGGCCAGGCGTGGTGTTGGCCACCCATTCCCTCGTGTGCAGTGCCAGCCTTCATAGGTGCTCGCTAACAGCACTTGTTCCAACGGTCCGTTAAGGTTATAGGGGGGGGTCTTTGTCTCGTGCGTGTAGGTGTGCATCACTCCCACCTCCCATCAAGACGCCGCTGCTGCTGCTGCTGCGCACAGGAGGCGGACGGCGGGGGCTGCCGGGGCTCGACGTGGAGCGGGGAGGCACCTCACTGAGGAAGCCGCAGCCCAGCGGCGGAGCTCCGCTGTGGGGCCCGCCCATGCCCACTCCCATCACGGGGCTGTGGGTCTCCCCGTTCCTGCTCTGCCTGCGGGAGCCAGTGGGTGGCATCACCCCCTCGGACGAGCGTTTCGGCCTGACGAGAGAGCGGAAGGGACACATTCGAGACGTTTGATCGCAACTCGGAAGAACCCGACGGGCAAGGAAGCTCTCTTTCACAGGTGTCCAAGCCAAGCTGGGGCGCAAATGGCAGAACGTTATGAAGGAAGTTGCATCGGTAGATAATAATGAAACAATCGTACATAAACTGGAATAAACAACAGAGTAGTACTGTATAGAAAAAAAAATACAACAACAATAGTGACAATTCATCTAAAGAAAGGATGAAGTACATTTGAGAATACACAGTGGTCAAATCATAGTTACAAATCACAGATGCAGCTCTTGTCATATTTACTGGTTTAAGTTTTCATCCAAATTTAGTCCCCCCTGCAAATTACATTCTGCTTGTACTGAATCAGCATCATGTCTTGAGATGTAAAAGAAAACAGTGTAACATCACCCTGTCGTAAAGAATAGCCTCCAGAAGATTGAAGTAATACTGTGCTGGACCTCTCAGATAAAACTAAACTTTTTATTTTACCAGGTGAGGGCCACTGAGCTATATAGCTCCTTTCAGAAGCGACCTGGCCACGAATAAAAGCTAAACGAAGTGGCTTATCGTGTAGAAATTTTACGTAGCTAAAAATTCTAAACGCATGTTTCTAAACGTGGAGGGAAAAATTGGAGAACCCGGAGAAACATCCAAGTGACCACGAGGAGAAGATGTAAACTCCAAATATATGGGCGTCAGGGTCAAGATCAAACTCACAACCTCCTGTATACCAGGCGAGGTAGTTAACATCTCGCCACAGTGGCGAAAGAAGTTCAACATACATACATATACGGGAGTCAAATAGAAACATGTTTCATTGTCAGAGCTGGGTATTTTTCAAATGAAATAAAACATCGAATTCGATACAACCAATGTTTCATTGTTTAGTCATGGGTGACCAGGCTGAGACCCGTCAACTCGCGAAATTTGAGTTGTCATCCCGGGTGGCTGGTCAGGTGGCTGCTTCAATGCCTCGGAGCTCAGCGACGTCAGCTCGGTGTCGCGATCCTTGAGCCACATCGTTATACAGCCTCTCTCTGATTGCGCGTTATAATTGTATCGGCAATTGTAGAAGATAATAATTATAGTATTGGAGTCAAGGCATGAGGTAGGGAAATTTCCTCCTGGAAATCCGAATGTATGTTAAACTTATTTTGCACCGTACATAGCCAACTGTGCTAATTGGAGGTGAGGGGGAAGGACAACAAACTAAACACAAAAAGCAATTCTCAATAAATTAGTTTTCAATCAAGATTTACAAGTGCATAGCTCCAGTGGCTTCCTAATATCAGAAGGAAGAGCATTCCAGACAGCCGCAGAAGCGCATCTGAAAGCGCACAATGCAGTGACCGTCGAATACTGAGAGAGCATCTTGTCCTGTAGGAGAATGGCTCTGCAAGATGACACTGCAACATAACGTCTGGAGTCACTTGAGGAGGCCTCTTACCCTGGCAGCCACTGGTGGCTTGTGGCTCTATATTGGGGGTGCTCCAAGTGCCACCTAATGCTTCACCATCTCAGTGATAGGACCAGATGAATTAATTAACTGGTTGGAAAGTGAAGGCCTCATCAGCACTTTCTCTACCAGATGGGCTCATTCAATCCAAGCAGATTCCCCACGAGGACTGCTCAGCCGGGTGCCCACCTATGGAGTAGTATTATCTGTTGCTTTCACACTCCAATCATCAATTCACCAACACGTGTCAAATGAGATCAGAAAACCCGAGGAGGCATTTGTAAACTGGAACCACGTGCCACCAATGATAGAAGCGTTATTTTGTGTGTTATAAAATGCGGTTAACAGCATGTCAATCATCCAATATAGTTATGAAGTTTACATATTTAGGGGCTAAATTAAGTGGAAAGCCATTGAGTTAAAGGCCCAATTACTGTTTTTTTCCATAGTCATTTGTGACTGGGCTGCTTGACTTACTGACTGAAAACTTACTTTATTTTAATCATGGATGCTACTCAAATATTGGCAGCCCCCACTGCAGAAAAGATACATTTTCACCACTGGCTCTCGGCCATCAAAAGATGTAAGTGTTGCTGCATTAGTCATTAGAGCCAGCAGATTCTCCCGACATTTCCGAGCGATTGATTTCATCTGCTGCTATATCGCCGTGAATCAACTGGACAACGATACTGAAACAAAACGTTTGCCAAAATTTTATATTTTTATTGGGTTTAACTGCAAAGGACATGACCATGTGGCACAAGCCATAACGGCCCGACCAATTGATTGGGACGGGATGTGGGAACTGCTGCAATTCCACGGGGTTGAGTAAGCAACATCTGGCACAGAGGGGGGGCGGGCGGGGGGGGGGGGGGGGTACGAACCTGCCGCCCATGTGGCCCACGCACAGCTCGGCCAGCCGCTCCGTGGGCGAGGCGACGTCGTTCTTGGAGGAGACCTTATCGTCCAGGAGCACTCCACTGCTGGCCTCGCTGTCCGCCTTCTGGCTCAGGCTATCGGAAAAAGTGTCGTCCCTGCAACGGCAACAAAATAAATCAAGTGAATTTTTATCCTGCACGCTGTAAGCACGTTGCTTCACGGAGATTTACAACACAAAAAAATAAGTTATTTTTTTATTACCCTCACTCAAATGGGAGTTGCGGCAAAGTGGTCCTGAGTTAGTGGTGGAAATTCCGTATTCCCATGGCAGGGACACATTCACCTACATAATTTCCTTCGGGTGTAATGAGTTTGTAATTGCATACCAAACTTGAAGGATTAATATGTAGAATAACAGCAACATTTGTGTGGACCATTACTGATGTACAAATCATTTGGCGATGCTGCGTTGGCAGTGGTGCGCAAGCAAATAACAAAAAGCTTTTGCCACTGCCGGAAACGTCGCCGATTATATATTTTTTTTCTTTCAAGGCAGCGTAATTGATGAATGTATCGAGTCAATTATGATTTACAAAGTACATACGGGCAATTAAAATATACATTTTTAATCACTAATGGTGCAGGAAGTTACAAGTACCACAAACCCGGTTATATAACGTGTTCATACGGTGTACAGAATTCTCACGTTATTCACCAACTTGCTATCCGCTATTTTGGCTATCTGCAGTTCGCATCTGGAATGCTACACGACAGCTGCATCGAGAGGGAGAAAGTGGTGAGATAAAGTGATGATGTGCAGAATCATCATTTTTCGTGTTATGATAATTTTCACGCATTTAATAGCTTATTTATGTATTTATTTAAGGTAATTCATTTTTTAAGGTATAGTTTTTCTGAAGCCAATATCATTATCCGCGAAATTTCCTGTTCACGTGCATCTCCGGAACGCATACCTCATGAACAACGAGAGAATACAGTACACGTGAAGTCGGTCAGAACAATCTGGAGCACATTGCATTGTGGTGTGCGGGACAACTTGGTACACAGGCCACTTTGGGCACATGGCAGATGGGAGTCGAGAACAAAAATTACTGTAAAGCAAAAACGTTGCTGTACTGCCCTCTGCTGACAACGTAGCCCTGCAGCAGCTTACAGGACCCGTTGAGCATGGTGGTCGTCCATCCAAGCAGTAACCCAGGCTCAAGCCCGATTAACATCCGAGAACCGATTGAATGTGTACAGAATCACTGCGATCGAGTCGGACAAGTTAAACGTACCATGCAGCGGGCCGTACATAGCAAAAGCATCAATCCAGCTGGCCAAAACACCGGAACACACGCTCAGGATTGGCACTGCATGCCGTGAACATTTAAATGCCCTTTTTTTGTGAGAGAGAGAAAAGACGTTTAAATCTTTGTAACCGAATCCTTAACAAATAATTTAAACAAGCTAAAAAAAAGGGTTTTTCGAAATTCTCGTCTGTTGTTGGTTTGTTTTTCCCTTGTGCATCAACAATGAGCTACAGCTCTTAAATGTGTGGAGTTCGAGGTCCCCTTTAAATTTGGCTCTGCAAGCTGTGGGATTTTGCACAGCATGCGAGTATATCTTTAGCCTTTTGGGCTTTGATAGACATCGAGTGGAAGATGATTCCTGAGCCGGCGTTGCTTTGACTATGCGACATCTACTTGCCTGCCTGATTTATCAGCTGGCAGAGCCAAGTCAGAGTCGAGACTGTCTCCTCGCTCACACGAGCGTGGGGCGACTGTCATCTCCATTTACAACCCCAAGCCGGAGGAAGGAATTCCACTTTCCTATGGGTGAAGGCGAAATGACCCGCTGTTGACAACCACGGCTGACTCTCCACAAATGAGTGCTCGTTTAATTTACGTTTGCTATACAAAACAACCACATGATCAATCTACAGATTGTATTAGTTGAGTGCCATGACCTTAGAGAAACCTCAATTATTTGCCAGGCTGATGTCCTGCCGTGGTATTTGGCCAATTCCTTGCGCGATTTATATTTTTGGGCAAGGAACAAAGATAAAGTATCTTTGTGAAAACCGATGGGCATGATTATAGAGCACTAGCGGGAAGTACCCGGCGTTGCCCTGGGGGGGAAATATAATTGAAAACTTCTCAAAACTTAAAAACATAACAGACACAAATGAAAATAAAACTTTCATCATTACCTCATTAATTAAAATAAAACCCAACGCGCGGTGGAAAAAAACACTTACGGTCGCGCGCCAAGATTCGATTCTTTAAACCCGCGAAAGGAATCGCGAGGTTGTAGATTTCTTTAGAATCGGCCTATTCCCGTTTAATCGATACCACAAACGCTCACCAGATATCGATTCTGGCCAGTCCTGTATGTGGGTTGACGCCACACACTTCATGGTCATTCCCCCCCCCCCCCCCCCCCCCCCCCCAAAATACAAAAGTATATTTTTATACTTTTTGCATTGTGTACAGTCTGGAAGCTACTCACACGCCAAATTTCAAGTTTGTTGCATGTCGGGAAGTATGCTAAACATTTCGAACAGACACACATACTCACAAATTTCCCTTTTATATATAGATGAATAAATGAAACACTGAAACCTACTCTAATAATACATCTTTGCCTGTTAGAAAGTATAGGTATGGTACATGGGGAAACATGGCAATTGCTGATATAGGGCTCAGGGAGGCAGGGAGGCAGGGTGCCATGGTGGCGAGATGTTAACTCCCTTGCCTAGTATACAGGAGGCCATGGGTTCGATTCCGACCCTGACATCTGTATATTTAGAGTCTGCATGTTCTCCTCGTGGTCCCTTAGATTTTTCTTTGGGTCCTCTGGTTTTTCCATCCACATTTAGAAATATTGAACGTCACGCGTTCAGAATATTTGTCTGCGAGACATTTCCACGTGATAAAAAGCCACTTCGTTGAGCTATCGTTTGTGATAGCCAGGTCACTTCTCAAAAAGAGCTACATAGATGAGTGAGCCTTACCTAGCAAATATAGTTTGATGTCGTTTTAGTTTAGGTGACACACCATGACAGAGTTAATGGTGGCAGTGTCTTTGATTCACGACAGAGTGAACACAGGCCAACACGTGCTGCAAGTGCTCGATTGGACCGGGATGAGGCCCAATTGCACACGAGTCCCATGAGGTCGGTGGGTTCAAGTGGACCGACTCTCAATAATGTCTCTCTCCCCTGCCCACACAAGCCTTTCTGCCCCAACCCTCTCTCCAAACACCTCCCTGCTCCCATTCCCACACGGTGTTCAATGTTGAACCGCATTCATTTAATCTGCCTCTCTTTCCTCTCTCTAGTTGACCTTCCATTTGTCTCTATTTCAAAATGGTTTTAGTTTTTTTCTTTTCTTGCACACAACCTTAACCTCTTCCCTCCTTTTCAAAGATGCATGGGCGAGGGAGGGCGAGTGCATTAGATGGGCTGGGTGGATGGGACAGGGTAAGAGGGTAATGTCGTAGGTGTTGGCTTTAGGAGACGGTACAGTAGAATATATATAAGAAGAGTGAGCAAGACAAAATATAAGAGTTCATTTGTCGAGTAGATGACGATGTATTTTGCATGATGTGAACTGGTTTAGACATTCTGAGTCTCATCAGCAGAGTGTGGCCCAAACTGGTCTGGAGTTTTAACACTTTAAAACATTATTTATGAAAATAATAGGCTTTGGCTCAGCAGGCCAATGAATTAAAACGATTGCTTTGTTTTTACCTGGTGAATCAGACCCTCATCTGTTGATTATTTCATTATCCACAATCCATCACGGCAGTGTGCAACAAATTAAGTATTGACATATGTGGTGGGCAGGCAAGATAGTGGTGATGTGTGGTAGAGAAACAAGGAAAACATTGCTAATGAGTGGTCGAAACAAGGCAGTAATACGTGATGAGGCCAAGGTGAAAAGGGCTGCATATACTTGGTGGACATGGCAAGGCACAGGAATAATATATGAGGGATTGGATATATTGTGTATATAAAGGCAAGGGCTACATTCTCATCAGAGGGCAGTGCGGCAAAATAACACAAATTGTACCCCACCCACATTCCAAAATCTATGCTGCTCGCCTTTAACCTGCCACTGACCAGCAAGGTGAAGTATAGTCAAACAACCCCCAAGGTGCGTGGAGGGTGCCTCATCCAGCAGCAGATTGCCAAATGGGCTTACGAGGTAAAATACATGGCGAGTGTATACATCAGGGGGTGGTGGTAACGACACAGAATATGTTGGCTATATTGTTCATTGAGAAGTAGGGGACATAGTTTGCAGAACCTATCTCTGAAAAGGCAAAAGGTAATGGTGCAGGGCTGCAATGTCTTGCTCGTGCCACTGTTAGCAGAAGCTCCTCTACTCGAGAGAGCTAAAGTGGACACTTGTGATCTACTCATCCACGCTAGGCAGATGTCTCGGAAGAGGCTGGATTATCCACCTTTAACCCCCACCATACAAGACCTTCTGAACTACTATGGTATCCCCATTAATACTGCTTGGCGGACAGAGGTGGAGGGAATTTAAGAAACGAGCCCATTGCTTCAAATTTGTGTGCCAAGAGATCGAACCGGCGACCTCTGGACACAAGCCCGGCGTGCTAACCATTTACACCACGGCGGCACGCCATCAATCCGTGACCGAATCAATAACCAACGGGGGGGGGCGGGGGGGGGGGGGAGGAACCATTCGCTAGGGGAGCACAACCCCCCAGCTGGTAAGAGCGTGGGCAGCAGTTGCCTCGGTAGGTGAGGGTGAGGGGGTTTCGGGGCCGGGGCGCCGCGCTGCACTCACGCGTCCTGCACCACGATGTACTGGTGCGGCACGAGGCCGTCGGCGCCGTTGTGCCGCCCCTCCCACCAGTCGTCGGAGGCGCGATGGTAGAGGAGCAGCGACGCGCCCTTCTTGAAGCTGAGCTCGCGCGCCGAGCGGCCCGTGTAGTCATACTTGGCGACCGCCTCGATGGGTTCACACTCTGCGGGCAGAGCGTGGGGCGCGCACACAAAGACAAAGATCCCCCGTGTAGCCTTAACAGACTGTAGGGGCAAGTGCTGTTAGCGAGCAGCACCTATGAAGGGCGGAACGGCACACGAGGGGGTGGGTGGCCAGCACCACGCCCGACCGCCTTTGTCTCCTCAGTGACGATGTTTACACACCGCACCAGGTACTCATTTGAGGCCGAGTCTACCTAGGGGAGGCCCGGGACCGGTTCAGATAATCGTCACTGGGTGTTGGCCGTGAGCGGGAATCGAACTCGGGTCGCCAGGTTCATAGCGCAGCGTAGCGCTAACCGCTACACTACCGCTCCCCACACAAACACACGTACACACACACACGTACACACACACACGTACACGCACACACACGTACACACACACGTACACACACACACACGCGCGTGCGGTCAACGTGCTCGAGAGAGAGTCGGTCGTGTCGAGCAAGGCGGCACTGTGGGTACAACGCTCGACTTGTGGACTTACAATTGGATGCTTCCGAGTTCGGTTCGGTTCATGGGTGGAATCGTTTTCTCCATAGTTTTTAAAATATTTATCAAATTCTTGGGATTATAAGAGACACCTTTTTTTCCCCTCTGTATTTTAAAGCAAAGAGGATGGGGTGTGTCTCTCTTAAGCATCTCATAACAGTGACCTTAAAAGGAATGAAATAGGTGATGCCCCAGGCAGTGTTATTGACAAATGTGTTTTATTGTTTTAAATTTTTATTATTTTATCGTTTCCCTTCTACGTGACTTTACCGAAAGAACCAAGAATATGAATCCCTGCAGTCACGAAAGCTTTAAATCAAAATGTGTAGAGGTTTAAAAATATATATATAATCGAGTAGATGTGTGCATGTGTATGACCATATTTGCGTGACTTTACTGACACTGTGCAAAAGTTTGGGGTCTGTCTTACTTCCCGCAGCATCTACTTTGCGTGATGTGGACAGCGTTCATTCTGCGAGGGGACTGGCCCCCGCCATGCGAATGTGGAATAACTGCCGCTGGCCCGGTGGCCATGTCTTTATGGACCTTTAGGGCCGTCCATAAATGACGTCACGTGATTTTGGAAGATTTTTGACCCCACCCCCCTCGTCACACGGCGTCACAAAAAGTCAGAACCCCCCTCAAATTTGACGTCACAAAGCTCTGCCCCCACCCCCCCCAAAAAAAAAAATGCTTCAAATCGCTTTAAACTATAGTCATTGTAGTGCGTATTTAATGTGGCGCTGCACTCTGATGTTGTAGGATGAAACATTTATCAAAAAGTCTATCTAATTAAATAGAACGTGTTGTCTATATTTATTTAAAGTTGCACATTTTGATGTGACGTCACATTTCTCAAACCCCCCCCCCCCCCCCCCCCCCCCCTCGTCACACATCGTCACAAATGTCTGACCCCACATCCCCCTAGGTGCGTGACGTCATTTATGGACGGCCCCTTTGAGTATGTAACCCTCGTCTGAATGGCTTTCTCCAGGTGCACCGATTCCTTCACGTATACAAACTGCTCTTTAAATAGAATCATACCAATGCAGGATTCTACTGAACATAGCCTTGATGCCCAGTGAGTTTCTGCATTAACGTATTTTCTAGTTCAACATACGTACCTGCGTATAACAATAATTGTTATCATTATTAGTCGAGATGCTTGATATAATGATAATAATGTTATGTTTCTATTTAAAGCTTTCGTGACTGCAAGGATTCATCTTCTTTGGTTCTTTCGGTAAAGTCACGTGACTTTACCGAAAGAACCAAAGAAGATAATGTTAAGTTCTTAACTGAGAACACATCAATGAGTCCCAAGACTATTTTTTACGGGCCAATTGAAGTTTGGCGGTTTGGCGTGAGGACAGACATCAGAGTAGCCAGACAAAACAAATGCAGTAGCGGGGATCACGCTCAAAAGATACGCAAAGACAGGTTGACAAACCACCTTGTTGTACTGTCATCTGCTGGCCACTTTGAATGTCCGGGAGTTTCACAAAAACTATACTGGACTCAGTGAAATGCATCCTGCAGCACAGCACGGAAGATTTTTTTTATCAAACGCACAAATGCGCTTTTCAAGTGGGCTGAGACAGTTCAGGATGTTTGCCTGCGAATGCTGATTCGTTTTGATGATTTAACCGTAGCAACCCTTGTTTTGTGTGTGTTTTTGTTTCATAAGTTGCCTTAATAAATGCATTAAATGTGCCCCTTTAATCTTAAACACATTACTACTGCCAAAGGGCATTAGTGAGGATTATTTTTACAAAGCACTTGTGAAAAATTTAAGATGACATCCTTTCAAAATGCATTTAGCGTGATCGCGTAATTTTCATCATCCACCGACACTGATCATTCCAGAGCCAGCAAGCACCGAGTGTTATTCTCTGAAATAACATTCACAAAATCCCGCAGACGGCCGATTTCTAAAGGGCACAAAATACATGCTAACTTAATCCTTTTGATCATGCATGCACATATTGGGGCCAACAATTATCTAGACATTGGGTTTCATTGCACAATCAATTCTGCATGGTGCGTGGTGTTAAGAAATTAGGCGGTTTTCCCCTCTGCATGGAGGACCTGTGTGCTTTGCTATGCGGAGTGTCGCTGAAGCGGTGAAAAATTGCCCATGAATGCGATCTGACACCGCATATTGCTATCAACGGCAGGACCATTGGTAAGAGCGATGAGTCTTGGCAAACAGCATTTATTGTGAGCGACCTTACAGAGCGAACGGGTACCTTAGAGGTCAAGCGTGCTTGCCTCAAGTACAAAGGTCTCCAGTTTTGCGTCAACTTTAAATCAGTATTCATGGGGACTTTCTTCCACCTACTTTGCTCCTATTGCGTTGCTGCCACAGGCAAAAAACACGAGTACGTTGATGACTTCCTACAGACAGCTTGCTGCTCCACAGTGACAAGTCTATCATGGTACAAACAAGTCAGTGTCGTCATGTTCTGCTTGTTTTCATTTGTGATCCTGAGCCATTGATTGGTGCAGGTTCCACATTATTCTGATGCGAGGGCCGGTCTTTCCATAGGATGACCCATGACCAAGAGTGGGACATTTTAATGGCACTGAAAAAAAGCGACGTGCTGAGTTAAGCCTCGAGTGGGATGTGAACTTGCAGTCTGATAAATTATAGTCGAGCACTCTGCCACATTTACAAGAAGTATGCAGCCTCTATAAAACAAGATAGGCAATTACTACCAACACATGGCGGATTATAGCCACATTGCCAAGTGTAATGTGTATTATTTCAAATAGTACAGCAAGTATGTGTGTGTGGACTAATGGTGATATATTATCGTATGTTTAACACGTAGGCTTTCGCGGCCAATATTATCCATTTCTATAGGTTTTTGGGTTAGATTGTGTAAATATAAATGTCTTGATTTAAAGCTTTCGTGACTGCAGTAATTCATATTCTTAGCTCTTTCGGTAAAGTCACGTTGAAGGGAAACAATAAAATAATAAAAAAATATATAAAACAAAAAAAATTCTCACGACGTTTCGACCATAACACATAACACAAACGGTCGTCATCAGGTGTGTCGACCGTTTGTGTTATGGTCGAAACGTCGTGAGAATTTTTTTTATTGTTTTATATATTTTTTATTATTTTATTGTTTCCCTTCAACGTGACTTTACCGAAAGAGCTAAGAATATGAATATAAATGTGTCGTTAAATCCACGACCACCTGACACAGCCAATTAGTAAGGTTTGTCATGTAAGCCAAACATGTGAAAGCGATTATAGTTCAGCAGACCGGTGTGCAGAACTTACTACACTCCAGTGTGTGTAGTAACAAACCTTGCTAATTGGCTGTGTTGGGTGATGGTGGGTTTAACAACACATTGACACTTACGCAATCTATCCCAAACAAAACCTCTTTATGTTTAGGCTTTCTCAGGGCACTGCTGTTTCCTCCCAAATACAAACAGTTTAATTCAATGTGCGACTGTTCATCTGTGAATGGTTTAGTTTCCTCGGGGGTTACTTGGAGCTCAACATTTTGGGGCCAATGTTGTTCAAGCCTGTATATGTTACCGCTTGGCCAAAGTTTTCATCGTCATGATCTCAATTATTTTCACTATTATGCTGATAGCTCACAGATTTATCTTAAGACTCTGATACCAAAGCAGCAGTTTCCGCACTATCTCGTTGTCGTACCGAGTTTAAGTTGTGGATGCGCCTATAAGCTTTCTTAAATGTAAATTGTGATCAGACAGAGATTATGTTGTTGGGCTCTCCACGTCAAGTGCGTAAATTGTTTGGTTTTTGTATCGCCATAGACGGGACTGAAATTCAGTTTTCCTCTGAGGTCAGAAACCTGGGTATTATCCTAGACCACAGTTTGACATTTGAGGACCATGTACATATTACCAAAATCTAGTTTTTTTCACTTATGCAACATAACTAAGACCTATGCGTCCCCTTCCTGATGCTGAGAGGCTGGTGCATGCCTTTATTTAATCAAGGTTGGATTAATGCAATGCCTTGCTTGCTGGCATATCTAATAATGTTCGAAATAGACTACAATATATTTAAAACTCAGCTACCTGGGTTTTACTCCTATTCTTTCTTCCCTGCACTGGCTCCCAGAAAAGTGTAGAATAGACTTTAAGACCAGACGACGCCTTTTGGCCTTTTGGCGTCCTCTGGTCTAACAACATTTTGAGACGAGGCTCGAAAGAAAGCTGTCTCTGGTGTGGACCAATCAGTTTCAAAAACAATGCATATATTAGAGTATTTTTTTTGTTTGCATTCTGACCACAAGTATTGTGGTTAATGCAGACATGATTCCTTGTAACAGGTTTCAGTTTGGTGTTTTAACATCTTAACACCTGTTTTATTGCCTGAAAAAAGGGGAAAACCTATTCTCAGACGTTAAGATTATTATCACATTTAAGGGACTGAATTAATTGGCTCATATATTTCACTGATCTGCTAAGGTTCTATATTCCACTGCGAAAACTTAGATCTGCTGATTTTTGGTCTACTCATTATTGCAAAGACCAGACCTTGGGTATGGGAGACGGAGATTTTTGCAGCCAGGCTCTGCGATTGTGGAATTCCCTTCCTCAGTCCATTAGGGAATCTAAGTCTGCTCCACTTTTGAAATCGTCTCTTAAAACTCACCCATTTTTACAACAGGGTTTCTCCATAACTTAAGCTTAATTTATTGTGCAATAGAAAACCACAAGTTATTTTTGTTATTCCTAAATTTGGCCAAACATCCCCATAGCAGGATCCCCTCCTGTAAATGTTTTTGATACTTCACTGACTACTAAAGATCTGCAAACAATTAAGTAAATTTAATGTTTACTGACCAATAAAAAAACTACTTTAGTTTCCATTACAATGCATGGTTGCTTTTAATTAAAACTATAATTAATGCAAAGTGTGTAATATATCTGCTTGCTTTGATAACAAGTAGAAAAACCCTTAATAACATCCAATTCGCATTAATGCCCTGAAATTATTTTAATTTACTTGTCTAGATCTTGCTTTTAACTCGAGAACATGTGTCTAGGTTTCTATATTATTATGCAAACATATAAATATATACTACAAGGCGAATGATCTTTCATAATTAAAACCAATTATTTGGTGATGCTGTTTTGGCAGAGGTGTAAAAGCACAATTAACAAACAATTCAACACGCTCATAAACAACATGGCCCTTCGTCATAGCACATGAACACAGAGGCCAGAGCGAGTTAATCAGGGTTCGAGACTGCCCTTACCACCATGGGGCATGATGAGAATCACATTATAAAATGTGCTTTCTAATGGCCAGATTTTAAATAGGTATATGTAAAGTTACCTAATAGTAGCGATTGAATAACAGAAAAAAGCCCTCCGGTAATCAACAGTATTCCTAAATGATGGCCTTTCACCTGCATTAATCGATTGCAGTATTATGTAACATCAAAAGCAAGGGTAAAAGTATCTCATTGCTCAAATGAGCATGAAGCAGCGCTCATATCTATCGGCGGACATGAGGCAATTCCACGTGCCTATGTTGGGAATCAGTCTCACCTTGGGATGGCCAGTGCTGAATTTCCACAAAGCACGATTCATGTTATCAAGCCCGGGGGAGCCACACTTTATGTTCTAAATATAACCAAGCCCAACATATGGGAATAAATGCACATCGATCATAGTTTGCTCTACCATTCTTTCTTATATCATCTGTGAAATGAGAAATGATCAGTACGAGACATCCGTGCTTTTTTGACGCTTCTTGCAGAGCTTCGCAATGTGCGCTGCACAGCCTCCCCGGTGAACACTACAAAAACCTCACGACGTTTCGGCCACAACACAAGCGGCCTTCATCATTATTATTGTGTTATTTATTTTATCAATTTATAATTTTATTCTCATTCTACGTGACTTTACCGAAAGAACCAAAGAAGATGAATCATTGCAGTCACGAAAGCTTTAAATCGAAACTACAAAAACCTTTATTAGGAATAATACTGGTCGCGATAGCCTCTGTGTTAAGCTACGGGTGTATTAACCGTATAAATACACGTTGGCTGTTTCACGGCGTACATGAAAACAAGCAGAGTAGGCCACGTATGCCAGTGGCATGGTCCAAATTTGAAGAATGTCGAAACGGTTACTTCATTGGGAAAGCCATAACACCATTGCCCAAACATTGCTTAACTTCTTCTTTGGTTCTTTCGGTAAAGTCACGTAGAATGAGAATAAAATAATAAAATAACACAATAAAATTCTCACGACGTTTCGGCCACAACGCAAGCGGCCGTCTTCAGGTGCGTAACTTAGCCGGGACCCTTCTGCAAAACACACTCGGCGAAGTTTTTCATGGCTAAATAAATAAATAAAATATTATCAAACTCGACGCTCGAACTAAGGTGGATGTCAGAGGATACTTGCTCCATAAACTGACATGGGCAGGTGTTGGCAGTAAAAGTTCAATGTTAAATGCAGGACATACTGACAACGTGTTTTAATCGCAAGCGGTTCAGTTGTAGAACATGTCCCACGTTGCTCACCATCCTCGCTGGTGTGTGGCTCTGTCCCCGTGTCCTGGTCTGCCTCCTCCATCGTGCCAGGCTCACTGTGGGGGCTGTCGCTGGAGCCGAGGGAGGAGGGAAACGTCAGCAATACAATCACATTGTCGCAAGGTGCACTACACCACCAGCATCGTGAAGACATGCAACGAATCAGAATATTTATTTATACTGGAGGAATCCGATGAGCTATAAAGCTCTTTTTCACAGATGTCCAGTAGGGGTAGGTGAAACGGTACAAACACGATGTGACTGAAATGAATAGGAAAAGTAAACAAATCAATACAAAATATATACGAAAACTAAATAATGTTTATCTTAGCAGGTAAAGCCCACTGAGCTATTAGCTTCTTTTTCATAAGTGACCTGGCCACAAAAGATTACTCAACAAAGTGGCTTATCGTGTGGAATTAGCCTCTACCCTATACACCATGATTTGATTAACTGGCATGGTTAGGAAACAAAAAAATAAGCACACAATGCTTCCTTCAAATATCATGCTTCTTCCACGTAAAGAAATAATAGACTTTTGTACACATCCCATCGACTGCATGGCCTTCTGGGAGTGCATGTTTTTTTTTTTGCAGCAAGTAAACTCTGGATTGGTTTCAAAATTCATTGTCTCATCAGAAGAGTCGGTTTAGTTAGAACCACTGATGGTAAATTGCCCAATGTTTAAAGGCAAGGAGCGTTTTTGTAACAAATGGTTCCGAGTTTAACACGTAGGCTTTCGCGACCAGAATTATTCATAGTAAAAGTTTTTGGGTTATATCGCGTCATTTATAAACGTCGTACTCAAATTGTAAATGTTGTGGATCCACTCTTCAACACACCAGTGGGCTAAAGTAGTGAACTATTTGTCTTTTGTCAACGTGACACTTTTTTTACTGATTGGTTATGTCGGGTGGTGGAGGGTTGCGACACATTTATAAATAACGCGATCTAACCCAGAAACCTTAATTATGAAATGGTTCCGAGTTAGATGAAAAAATATAAAATAAACCAAAATCATTGAGCGTCATTGTGCAGAATGTAACGCCATTTACTCATCCACTGCTTGTCACGATTGGAGGTTTAAACTGGACTGAAGAATCGATTATATTTTGTCTCGTTAGTACAGTTCTATTTGAATTCTAGCATCTCATGTCATCGGGTAGCAGTGATGCCGTGTACTCACAGTCTACTGAAGAACATCACACACAAAGAGAGAGTAGAGGTCTAAGTAGGGGTAGCAGTGATGCCGTGTACTCACAGTCTACTGAAGAACATCACACACAAAGAGAGAGTAGAGGTCTAAGTAGGGGTAGCAGTGATGCCGTGTACTCACAGTCTACTGAAGAACATCACACACAAAGAGAGAGTAGAGGTCTAAGTAGGGGTAGCAGTGATGCTGTGTACTCACAGTCTACTGAAGAACATCACACACAAAGAGAGAGTAGAGGTCTAAGTAGGGGTAGCAGTGATGCTGTGTACTCAGTGTACTGAAGAACATCACACACAAAGAGAGAGTAGAGGTCTAAGTAGGGGTAGCAGTGATGCTGTGTACTCACAGTCTACTGAAGAACATCACACACAAAAAGAGAGTAGAGGTCTAAGTAGGGGTAGCAGTGATGCTGTGTACTCGGTGTACTGAAGAACATCACACACAAAGAGAGAGTAGACGTCTAAGTAGGGGTAGCAGTGATGCTGTGTACTCACAGTCTACTGAAGAACATCACACACAAAGAGAGAGTAGAGGTCTAAGTAGGGGTAGCAGTGATGCTGTGTACTCGGTGTACTGAAGAACATCACACACAAAGAGAGAGTAGAGGTCTAAGTAGGGGTAGCAGTGATGCCGTGTACTCACAGTCTACTGAAGAACATCACACACAAAGAGAGAGTAGAGGTCTAAGTAGGGGTAGCAGTGATGCTGTGTACTCACAGTCTACTGAAGAACATCACACACAAAGAGAGAGTAGAGGTCTAAGTAGGGGTAGCAGTGATGCCGTGTACTCACAGTCTACTGAAGAACATCACACACAAAGAGAGAGTAGAGGTCTAAGTAGGGGTAGCAGTGATGCCGTGTACTCACAGTCTACTGAAGAACATCACACACAAAGAGAGAGTAGAGGTCTAAGTAGGGGTAGCAGTGATGCTGTGTACTCACAGTCTACTGAAGAACATCACACACAAAGAGAGAGTAGAGGTCTAAGTAGGGGTAGCAGTGATGCTGTGTACTCAGTGTACTGAAGAACATCACACACAAAGAGAGAGTAGAGGTCTAAGTAGGGGTAGCAGTGATGCTGTGTACTCACAGTCTACTGAAGAACATCACACACAAAAAGAGAGTAGAGGTCTAAGTAGGGGTAGCAGTGATGCTGTGTACTCGGTGTACTGAAGAACATCACACACAAAGAGAGAGTAGACGTCTAAGTAGGGGTAGCAGTGATGCTGTGTACTCACAGTCTACTGAAGAACATCACACACAAAGAGAGAGTAGAGGTCTAAGTAGGGGTAGCAGTGATGCTGTGTACTCGGTGTACTGAAGAACATCACACACAAAGAGAGAGTAGAGGTCTAAGTAGGGGTAGCAGTGATGCCGTGTACTCACAGTCTACTGAAGAACATCACACACAAAGAGAGAGTAGAGGTCTAAGTAGGGGTAGCAGTGATGCTGTGTACTCACAGTCTACTGAAGAACATCACACACAAAGAGAGAGTAGAGGTCTAAGTAGGGGTAGCAGTGATGCCGTGTACTCACAGTCTACTGAAGAACATCACACACAAAGAGAGAGTAGAGGTCTAAGTAGGGGTAGCAGTGATGCCGTGTACTCACAGTCTACTGAAGAACATCACACACAAAGAGAGAGTAGAGGTCTAAGTAGGGGTAGCAGTGATGCTGTGTACTCGGTGTACTGAAGAACATCACACACAAAGAGAGAGTAGAGGTCTAAGTAGGGGTAGCAGTGATGCTGTGTACTCGGTGTACTCAATTGCATCACACGCAAAGTTAGCGCCATCAGCCCTGACTCTGCTTTGTCCCGAGCCAGATTCAAATATCTCGTGAGGCCAGCCATATTGTGCTTTGGCTTTTGGCTCGACGCGGCAAATAGCCGGTGGAAAAGAATCCGTACCACGAAGGCATTGCAGCGGCTCGCCTTGGAGGTGTCAGTGGAAAAGGGGTATCGCTCGCAGGCATAAACCATCCCGAACGTGGCGGCAGTGACACTCGCGAAAGGAGCGGCACTCACCAGTACTCCTCCTCGCCAGTCATGCACTTCTCGTAGATGGGCCCCTCCAGCTCCTTGAACCCCGGAAAGATGCCCTCGTGGTGGATGATGATGGTCTTTATCACCTCATTGACGTGGGCCTGCACGGACACCTGGTCGTGTCCCTCGGGCACTGGCATGAGTGTCGGCCCGAAGCAAATGGCCAGGTTGTACGGGTCCATCATGTTCTCATCGCTGAACTGGGACAGGCTGTCGGGGTAGCCGGTGAGTGGGAGATAAGAGGAGCGCAAGTTAGCGGGAGGGATTGAAGGATCGTTGTCTTGGAGAGCGTCTTTGAATATCAACGTCGTCAGCAACTGTCGTTCCCTCGCTAAAACCAGAAACCTCCCCAAATTTTCGGCGTGTTTCTGGGTTGCGCCGGGTGTTGTTTGGCGTGATATCTGATGTTTTGGTCTGACGTTTCGCTCCATGCACTGGGAGGATCATCGGGAACGGAGGAACGGAACTGAATTCAGTTGCTGAAAAAGCTCCCTGCGTGCAGAGTGTAAACGTTGGACATCATGCCGAAACAACACCTGGCACAACCCGCAGACATGTCGGAGAACTGTACGGCACAACCGTGAGAAACCTACGCAGTAACCTTACCACCGGTGTTGTAAATGCTGCAATGTAAGAGATTAAAGTATCATTTTGGGCTGACGTTACCCTTCTTCGGAGCAGAGAGGGCTGGCAGCCAGGCTGACTACATGATAGTCGGACACTGCGTATCGCGGTTTGGTTTCGGCTCGGCTTGTCAATTAGCCAGCGGAAAACCACAGAGTGAGGATGTGCCAGGATGTGCCAACACCTGCCTCGAGTATGAGGTGAAACCTCACAAACAGTTGAGCAACTGTAATTCGGTGTTTCTGACTGCCGTTTCGTGGCCCACTGCTAAAACACTCGTAGACTAGGGCGTGCCATTGTCTGTAAATGACCTGGAGAGGCGTTCAGCCAGCAGCGGATTGATTATGGCCGATGCGGATGACAAAGGTAGTGTTATTTACTAAGGTGGTGAGTTTGTTGGGGGTTTGCAAGACTTGTTTTGTACAAAACTACCAAGGCAATCTCTTCATATTCACTCTATGCTCCTCTCGCGTGGACGAATGCAACCCCAGCTCCTGTGTCATGTAGGATCATGGCACTGTAAAAGGAGATGATTTACCATTTTAAAAATATTTGTTTAAACTTTTAATTAATGTAGCATCCAGTTTTTGTACTTAGTCATGGTAATTTTTTGTTTTATTTAAGCAAACACTGATTTCGGGGATATAACAAAAGCTACTGGATTTATTTCAAAAAGTGATCTCCAAATTTTTTTCTCCCTTTCCGGAACATGGCTGCAGAATGTCGATTGTGTTGCAGTCGAAACGTCGTGAGAATTTTATTGTTTTATATTTTTATTATTTTATTGTTTCCCTTCTACGTGACTTTACCGAAAGAACCAAGAATATGAATCCCTGCAGTCACGAAAGCTTTAAATCAAAATGTAGCCCTCCTACTGTTTTCATCCAAAAAGCTGTCAGCACAAATCACAGACTCGGCGCTATCAAGGGAGGACAGAATGTGCCGCTGGTGACTGAGAAACATAGCACGAGGATTAGTCACGGAGAACGAGGGATTTCATCACTCTCCCGGCAGAAATCGCCGCACCAACTGCCTCGAATATCTTCCATATGTACGCAAAAATTCTTACGAGTAATAAATAATCCCCAGCAGCAAGTGGTAATTTGACTCACGATGAATCCATCCAGACACCAAGAAAAACAAACGGGCATCTAGTATTGGCTGGGATTGAAAAAAAATAGATATATATAAAAAAAATTCTGAATCGTTTTTTCTTTCACACTGAAATTTTTGGCTATACTATTGACAGGTTGGAAATAATGTTGACAGGAAATCTTAGGAATAATGTCACGTGAGCTTTTGTAACAGGGAAATATGCAGATGACACAATATTTCATAGAGTAGTCATACACGTCTTGCATTTACCTGCCGGTTAAGTTATGCTATAACTTTGGGACAATGGCAACGCCAGTGGTTTGTGTGCCCACTTGAAGCTCAAAGTTTTTCAACTAACCGACACGTAAACAACCCATCATGCGAACAGCCCAGCTGAAGTAAAGTTTGAATGGCGTATTTGTATTTATTTTGATCGGTCACAATGAAAAGCGGCAGGACCCTCTTGACAATTGGAGCTACGACACGTGAACCCGATGACCGCCGGCACTCACTGGTTGAGGAACGCGAGGAGGTAGCGCATCACCACGATGGTGGAGCGAGGCAGAGTGAGAATTATCTTGCGAATGTGAGCGGCCCTCTCGTACAGGTTCTCCATTTCTGTGCGGACGCAGCACACACCACGCACAAAGGCACCGCTTACACATGAAGACAAAAGATCCCCGTCGTTCTCCTTTGCAGACTGCGGGTGCAAGCACCGTCAAATTGGTTTCCGCTGCACAACCAAGCCGTACTGGGGCTGCGACAAAGCAGGCCGGCACAGTGCAGGTGGCACCAGGTTGAACCAGAGCCGTGCAGCTTGACATCGCATGAGGCGGACGAGTCGAGACACGTGCAGATGAGGTGGTGATGCCGTGTCCTTATAGTGTACCGACTGACGCCACGGGCACTCAACTGGTCAGTTAGCCTCAGCCCTGGCCCTGCTTGACCCCGAGCCAGATTCAGATGTCTTGAAATTGCTCAGTAAATAGCCAGTGGAAAACTACACCGTGAGCACGTGCAGGATGTGCCAGTGTAAAAGGGATATCAGTGATCCATCTACTAATGCCTGCATTGCACGCATGTATTATGTATTTAGAACTTATTTTGCACCGTACGTAGTCAAAGTTCATAGCTCCAGTGGTTTCCTTATATCAGAAGAGCGTTCCAGACGGCTGCAGAAGCACACGATGCGGTGACCGTCTATTGTTCGATGGCTCGCCAAAAGCCGCTGCTGCGAGGATGACCAGAGTTCACGTGATGGTTTATGCGCCTTGACGAGATCAGCAAAGTGTTGTGGTTCATTTGTGGCAAGCACTTTGTGTGCAATGAGCCGCGACCTGATAATGTATTCGTTCAGCAGCCGGAAACCAATGCAGCTCGTCGAGCAGTGGACGGACACGGTCGGAACTTGCAGTAACCGTCAGGACATTTGCCAAAGAAAAAATACGGTGGTGTGGTCAGAACCACCCCCGGTCACCTTTGTCTTCTCCTTAGAGCTTACACTCACACAGCATACCAGGTACTCATTCAATGCTGAAATTGGCCTCGCAGAGACTCTTAGAGAGGTTTAAATAAATACTCAAATTCCACTGTGATTGTATACATCTGGGAATCAATCACTGTTTGTTGGAATCATAGTGGAGTAATGCTAACCAATTCATTCCCACTTTCCCGCTCGCACACACACACACAACAACGCCGTCGAAGTAAAAGTCTTTGGTGCCATTTGTTCTCAGGTGCCAAAGCTGCACGTTGAATTGTGAGAACATTTTTACTTGAGATATTTAAGATATTGAAATTCACACTGCTTTTATATGCAGACAGCAGGCTCACCACCAAAGAAGGAATTCAAAACCCCAGCCAGGGGGTTACAGTTTGTGGGGAATCCAACAACGATTGCCTTATGGATAGATACATTCCCGGCCACAGGAATGTGGAATGTCCTCCACTGCCTCAGGGTTTTAAACAGGAGATAAGTGCCACATAAATGCTTCCAGGAGCAGGAAATAAAATTTAACTCGACTAATTTCACCTCTGTTTAATGTGGAAACACGCTTCCACATGTAAAGGTTTCCTAACATTCTTAAGCCTCTTGAGATGTAATATTCAATAATATTGGTTTCTTGCAGTAATCAAAGTGCATGCTTGCAGTGGTAAAAGCAATAACTACAGCTCATAAACTTCACTAGCCTGTCTTGTATTAAACACTTTTACAGTGTAAAACATACAGTGGAAGACAATACAGGCGAATAACATTATGAAAATATCATTCGAACAATTGTCTCAATTTTAGTAATAGGTTTTTACCCTTTTATCTGGCACCAAAACTGACACCTTTACAAAAAGGATAAACAGGTCCCTGCAGGGTGGGCTGGTAGGACAAGTCTCTGCGCTGTCTATTGCTGATTTTACACCCAACAGCACGAGATTTCACTTCGTTAAAGTATTGAAAGGGGACGGACGGACGGACACATTAATCTATTGCAGGCTGGTACACTCAGTTTACAACTTCGTTCCTACCAGTAAAACCTATTACTATATCTTGCTACTGGCAAAGGAGGTCTCATAATATAAATGCTCACCCCGAGCTCTCAATACTCTCAGTGCGCTGTTTTTGAGTTGTACGCCTTTTGGCGTCATCTGGTCCAACACCAGTGGAGACTAAGCTCTAAGAAAAGCCGTCTCGGGTGTGGACCAATCAACTTCAAGGACAGTGCATATAATTATCGTCTCTTTTTGTTTGCATTTTGACTGCTTGTGTTGTGGTTATTGCAAACATGATCCCTTGTATAAAGGTGGCAGTTTTGGTACCAGATAAAAGGGTAAACACCTATTACTGTATCTTGCTACTGGCAAAGGAGGTTCTCATAATGTCTCAATTTTTGTTTTCATAAGTGGACACAAAATCCATAAGCTCAACTTTTTTTTTTTCCCCACGAAACTTTGTTCCAGGGAAAGCAAAAGAGGGACACAAATCTCCCTATGCAACACGTCACGTGACTTGCAACAAAGGGCAGCGACGTCTTGAGACATTGCGCCTCGGTTACCCAGTAAACACGGAACGTTGGGCCAATGTTGGGCCAACATTGCAAGTTTGCAGGGCATGCATTGCGGGCAATCTGAACGTAATACTCGTGGCAAACAGCATGGTCTGTTGATGTACACGTTTCTTAGCAACTCCATTCCAGAAAAGAAATTTTCCAATATGAATGCGATGCGATTACTTTCCAATTTCAGTGAGCGGTTTTCAAAATGTAATGCTGTGGACAACCTTAAGAAAATATTCCGGGCATCCAAGAAAAGGGAGATGGCTAAAGCGCCCGCTTATGCTTTTGCAGTGCGTGCATAATACAAACACGATCACGTGCAATGCAATGTACTGCTATTGCCTTGCTAAGAACTGTCAGAGAATTTGTAATGTTGTTGTATTGGCAAATGAAAATAGCATTTTTGTTCCAGTTCAAGTAAAATAAACTACAAGGACTCTGGAACTGTCTGGTCTGATTTCAATTGCCTTTTTTAATGTAAAAATAAATAAATAATGCTCTAAACCAAATGTAATAACAGTAGTGTGTTAATGAATAAAACATATTCCAATGCTGTAATGTCATTGGAAATAGTGAGGCATTTAGAGTAATAGTTGGCATATCCTCCTCATTCATAGCTATTATAATACAGTTAAAAGTAATAAAAGGAACATTTGATACATATTTTACGCAGAATCTCAATAAGTAGTTTATGATCATGATGGTGATGGTTACGACCAACACAGTTGCTAAGCACAGCAGGCCCGAGGGCCCAAAACGGCAATCGGCCAGCAACAAACAGCGCCATCAACGGTGAAATGCACGAGTATGTATCACGCTTCTTGAATTAAGCATAGTCATGGGAGTTTGGAAAATGAGACAACGGGAGGGAATTCCCAAAGTCTAGCGAAGCGAGGGAAGAAGCAGAAAGAGAAATGTTGCGATGACAATTATGATGATGGTGACAATGATTTGAGTGATTGTGATGATGACAGAATTACGGTGAGAGTGATCATCACGACGCTGACGGAATATAACAGCGACGACAATGATTTTGGCCAAACGAAGCGGGACTCACTGACACACATGACCAGGTCGTGGAACTTCTCCTTGGGGAAGAGGGAATTCTCGAGGCCACGGAAGTAAAGCTTGAGAACTCCAGCCACCGAGTTGATGTCATGACTGTCCTCGTCCTCCACCAAAGGGTCTTCGCCTACCGGCAACCAAACCCTCCTTTAACACACTCGGGACAAAAACGACGACTCCCCATGTATCCGCAAACTGCCTCGCCTATCCGCCGTGTAGCCTTAACAGACTGTTGGGGCAAGTGCTGTTAGCGAGCGCCTGTGAAGGCCGGTACGCACGGGGGGAGGGGGGGGGGGGTGGCCAGCCGCCTTTGTATTCCTAGTGACGATAGTTACATACCACACCAGGTACTTGTTTGAGGCCGAGTCGACTTAGGGGAGGGCTTAAGACTGGTTACAATAATTGTCATTGTCACTAATTGTCACTGTTATTGGTCATGAGCGGGAATTTAACTTGGATTGGCAGGTTTGAAGCGCAGTGTTCTAACCACTATACCACCGTTCCTCACATACCACACACACACACGTTACCATCTTATGGAAGTTGTTGTCACTGCTTAATACATTTGACCCATTCAGCTCGGGAATTCAAATCCTAGTCCAGGGTTGATTTAGCCCACGTTCCCTCAGGGGGGTGATTAAATCCGTACTCATTTTGCAGAGAGTATACAGTGGTCGTCACCATGGAAATACTACTTCTGTCATGGTAACCGTCAAATTACCACCACTGGCTCTGGGATGCCATCGGAAGTGGATGCTGCTTAATGTTCATTTGGCCAGATCCTTACAGCGGCCTGACCCAATAATAATCAGCGACGAATCATTTTTAATTAACTTTATGAGGCAGGGTGGAAACAAGTCTGATCAGGAATGTAAGCAAGAACGTTTCACAACCAAGACAATGATGATAATAATAATGTTTTACAATTAAGGATTATGATATGACAACCAGGTAAATACAAAAATGCTCGGAATAAAACCTAAGATCCTTGACTTGAGAAGGGTTTTGATTTGGACGTTTGGCCAATTCATTTTCCGTGTTTATTGTAACAACTCAAGAGGCAGTCTGGGTTTCCTGAGAAACAAAAAAAACTCACGCAGGGAGAGAGAAAGAATGCCAGAACCCTACTTGATGTACTGCCTTTGTGGGATCCCTTTGCTTTTCAAACCAAGGGAGCAGCTTGGGAAAGGAGCCAAAAATTGGTCCAGAGCAGAAATTGGTACCGTCTGATGCGGAAAAAAACTGGAACATGACCCATTTCTTTCCATGGCCAATACCAATACAGTAATAAAATAATCATTTTTAATGGTTATTTCATCGGAATATCAAGTGTGGATATAGACTGTTATTAAAAAAAACATTGCTACGTTATTTTACCTTAGGTAGAAAAGTGGAAAAAAAACTGATCTGAGAACCTCTGCAAACCAGAACATACAAAGCGTATTTTTTTTTATGAAAGCACACAGAGGTAGCTGACTTACCCCTTTCAAACGCATTCTTGATGTCATTGACCTCCACCTGTGAGCCTGAGACACGGAAAATCCCCTGGTGCTGAAGGCCTGTGATGGAAAACACCAGGAGATATGGAAGGCGTGATGAGTTTCAAACCATTACAAAAATCACTCCACTCGTGGAGCCCGCGACGTGTTCCACACGAATGGGAGCAAGACGCAGACACAATACAAAGGGGAATTTCAAAAGTCCATGGCTTGATTTAGAAAGCGGTGATTGAGCTAAATTATGTCCTAATTTTACGGCTAGTTCCGTTGATGTGCAATGTATCAGTTTACTGATGGTTTAATTCATTGGTTACGAACAAAAACTGCTTTTCCCACAAGTGGTTCTTTAACTGTGGAAACGTCCGAAAGTCCATGGGTGTCAGATTTGGGGAGTATGATTTCTCTCCAGATTGCTCTGAATTTTTCAGATTTCCACATGTCAACACGAACATCAGGAAATCGAACACCTGTAGTACTTAAGCAATGCTTTTCATCGTTACTAATGTCAGGCACGATCTGTCCACTGACAGATAAAGGCTTCCCCACATCATTACCAATCCATCTCAGCTCCCACCCCCCTTTGTACATGAGCCTATCTCATCGCTGCATCTCTGTGGTCATCCTCTCAGCCTCTCAGGGAAGATTCCCTCCACTGGCTGCCATTCTGTCACTAATCTCGATCGCCAGCCATCAACTCTTGCAGTGAGAGGAACATGCGCTTTAGAGTATTTGGTTGCGAAACATTTCCACGTGATAAGCCACTTGGGTGAGATATGATTTGCGGCCGCTTCTGAAAAAGAGCAATATTGCTCAGTGGGATTTACCTGGTAAAAAAAAATGTGTTTTAGTTTATGAGTTTTAACTGTGGTAAGAGTGTGTCACCTTGCCTGGATCCCCTTCTAATATGCACTTTGGTAATATGTTCACGTTTATAGTTTTAGTTTAGTTTATTGTCTAATTTGAAGTTGACGGCATGCTATAGTAACTCCTTCCACGATTTGCTTGAAATTGCTAGAAACACATTTCCGGCTCCTTGCCCATTTTTCAATTGGCAAGTGTCGAGACTTCAAGGCAAGTGAAATGCCTACACGGCTACAGATGGGACCCATTATTTGATAATGCGACCACGCATACGGCCAGGTATGGTGTTATTTAAACCAGGCGAGACCCCAACGGAGCCAACGCGTCCCTTTTGGAAGGAAGCCCCGGAGGGGGGGAACATACCGATAAACACAGCAGCGGAAGCCTTAACAGCCATTAGATTTAGCCCAATTAGTATGACATATACGGGGGAAATTGACAAGCCAAAGTATTTGCATAGGCAGCACTGCGGCAGAGTTTCTAACTTACAAACGGAAGCCTCCGAGTTAATATACCGCTTGGGCAATAACTCGGACCATCTACCCTTCCAAGTTTTATAAACAAGTACCGCTTTGAGAGACTAAATCCCGTGACGGTAACGTGGTGGCGTACCGGTCACCAGGGATGAGTGCGGCTAACATTCGGTGGAGGAATTTACTTGTGTTAAGCGTTGGCACTGCATTCACACGGTCTCACCGTAGAGGTTGATGAACCGAACGCAGCTCTCCACCACCAAGGGGATGACCTGTCCGGTGTCCTGCAGCGTCAACAAGGCACTCGTCAACATCGTAGCAGCGGGCGTGCACAACGGCATCGAATCTCGTAAAACTGTAATTACCATTACTTTTGATTTAAAGCTTTCGTGACTGCAGTAATTCATATTCTTAGTTCTTTCGGTAAAAGAACTAAGAATACCACTACTTTTTCAAGTAGTGGTACCCCAAACTTTCGCAGCTCTTAAAATTCCCTTTTCACACCATCGAAGTGTATACCCAGTTGCTGTTAATAGTTGGGTAGTGCAGCCCCTTTGGCGTCCATGTACTAGGTGCCTCTGTGGATGTGTAGGCTTTGACTTTAACATAGCTATTTCTGTGACCAGTCACAAGCTAATCCCTCAGTTATTTCAATGCTAAATTCTCCTGTTTGATATGTAAACTCCTTTGTCAAGGTGCCTCACTTCTCTCACCCAGCTTAAAAGACGCTACGAATCTTAGCAGCGTTCACTGAAGCTCTGTCGTCCCGACAGTTCTGTTCCTTCACCTGAAGAAGGCCACTTGTGTTGTGGCCGAAACGTCGTGATTTTTGTTGTTTTATTTTTTACCTACGTGACTTTACTGAATAGAACCAAAGAGTAATTAGGCAGCAGTTTGAGCGACAGCTCAATGCAGGTGCTTGCACACACTTTGGTGCCACGAAGAGTCTATCGCACGAGATTCATCTTTACGAACCTCCCCGTTGTCCACCACGATGCTGGCGAAACAGATCGTATCAGTGTTTGAGTCCCATGTATTTTTTTTTACCATCATCTGGGCTGTTATTGTTTCTAAACCACTCCCTTACTGGACAGCTGTGAAAAAGAACGTTATAACTTTTCAGTGAAAGAAAATGATTTAAGTCTATAAATAATAATGTTGCCAACCTTTTGGCAAAGGAGTTCCCACTGCTGTCTAAATATAACTCTTTAATAATGGATAATGCCATTATCAACACCATATGCATTAGGCACACGCATACATACCCGTGTATCGCATGAGTATGTCTCCTTTACTGATGTGCGGCATATGTCATGGGCAGATTAGGTAGATAATAACAATTGCTGGATTTGGCAATTATAAAATAAGATGAATGGGACAGGCTCACATGAAATATATCTAGAGGTGCTTTTAAAGGACACAAATGGCAGAATTTGCCCTTTGAGAATAATATAAATATATTTCTGCACTTATATGCGTATGCTGGGGAGCTAGCGGGAAATTAAATAAAGTCATACGAACCAAATGTTACGGTTATTCTGTTCCTTCATCTTTATGCAATATCCATCAACAGTCATATTACATTCATGGGGTGACCCGAATATGAAGTTCTCTCGTGTGTTGAGTTCACATGTATTATTAATGCCATTCTCTCAAAGATGTTTGATTGCCCCACATGTGTGCACATATATTGTTGTTGTTGTTGTCACTATCTATAAATAAACGGCACTGTTGCCGGTCTGTGCTTGCGTTGCAATGCTCTTCACACTCATCTACACAAACATAGTTCACCAAAACACTCTTGAGGTGGCTAAGTGGCATTTATATCTCAGGGCTCAGGGTCTGGGTTAGAATCTAGATTCCAGCTGCCTGGTGGTTAAATTGGGTTCCTATGTTGATGGTCTCGACAATAAACACAGAAACATACTCACATTAAAATGTAATTATATCACCATTTGGCTATATCGCCACTCAAAAACAACATTCGCTTCAATAGCATGCAATAAACAATTCACAAAATAACTCAACACATTCGTCAATAACACTTTGTGGCATTTAAATGAAAAAAAACGTGAAATAGGTGATACATTTGTGGCAATGGCCCTTCTTCACAGTATAAGGGACACGATGTAGAAAAAAAAATCACCTTATATATTCCTTTTAAGGCCACGATCGTATTGACGAATATATATATTGAGTTTTACATACAAGGTGGGAAGAACCATTCTTTGGAATGTTTTCTGTCAACGCCCTTCAAGATTCATTACAATCGAGAATGATACATGTACCCATTCGCAAGGTGTGGAGCTTTTAGCCAATTATTTTGACCTGCAAAATGTTCTGTATACGCACATGCTGCACGTTAGTACGCCAATGGTGTGCTATTCTAATGCCGCATCATGCTAATGGAATTATACGTCTCGATGCTTAGCACCAGAATGCTTCAGGTTCGTACTACAATGCTCATGGTCTGAAGGGTGTAACTTGAATCGATATCCTCTTGGTTCTTTCGGTAAAGTCACGTAGAATGGAAATAAAATAATAAAAATAAAACATTATTATTTTATTTCCATTCTACGTGGTGGTGACTTTACCGAAAGAACCAAGAAGATGAATCCCTGCAGTCACGAAAGCTTTAAATCGAAATTGAATCGTTATTTCTGTCTAATCCTATCCAAAACTGCACAACTGTACATGAAGCATTCATTTGTTGACATTAAAAGTCAATACCTGAGCAAAAATAAGTTTCAATTGTAATGCCTAACATTAAATCTTAAGTTTAATGATGAAAACAAATTTCGCCAAAAAAAGGAAAAATATATTCTGATTTACTTTTAGAACTTTTAATAAAAAATTCAAAACAGTGGGTAAAAATCACTGGATGTATTACATTTGAATAAATCATGTAACTTAAAAAAAAAATTTAGTGTTACAAGTGCCTGAAAACTACCCGCATAACTATATTTTCTTAAAAGTACACTACATGACACTGTGCTATATGGAATAATGGCCCTGCCAAAATAACTAGAAGAGATCTGTCAAAATATGCCAAGTCTTCCACACGGAGCACAATTAAATCCACCTTCGCCTTCCACAAGCCTTCAACGAGCATGCCCATGAATGTCTACAGCCACTGTGAACTCAAGTAATTCCGCAAAGGATTTCTGCTACGGGACTAATGGAATCAACCGGAACCGAATGGCTTTCCTCACCCCACCGACGTCGCCAGTTACCACCGCAAACCAAGTGGCGAGGAAAAAAGCGCGGGTACCTGGCTTCTAAAGCGCGAGTTTCTCCGTCCTCTGCATCACCAAGAGATTGGAAGTGGAGGGGGTGGGGCAGGGGGGGGGGGGAGAAGGTCAAGAATCGAGAGCAGGAGAAACCATCACCGCGAGGAACAAGGCCCAAGTCCTGAGACACCGTAGCCCCAAAACCCACCGCTAAAGAGCATCTCAAGTTTTCAACTTGTACTTTCTCTGCAGGATTTCAAGAATATGACCCGTAAATGAAGGCATAACAAATATATATAGTTTACCTATAAATGCATTGGAGTATAAAAGTCTAAATATCTCTCGTCTTCAACTGAACATGAGGATAGGGTAGTGTTAATTTATATTTTGTGGCCATGAGTAATTGGTGGAAATTCCACATTAGTACGGTGTGGGCCATTCTATAAATAAGAACATCGATGTTGACTTCCCATAGAGTGGTACTACACATCGGAAAGTTATGCTATGGGATTCTCTGAGGCTAAACGTGACACTATTGCCACGTGGGCCATGACTGTTTCCAAAGGTTAACGGAGAAGATAGACATTTAAAAACTTGAGATTTTCCCCTTAGCACCATTAGAGGTGGCGAGGCGAGAGGGTTGATGGAAAATTGCGGAGGTATTGGGTTGATTCTCCACGCCGCAGTACCTGTATGAAGGTCTCCAAATTGCCGTTAAACAATTTATCGGTGAACTGAGAGCGAGGCCTGTGCCTCTTTGCACTCGGTGGTTTGGTGGGGAAGAAAGGGGGCCTGGGAACAACATGTGCCGTCATCACAGGACGTTACATAGCGATGCGATCGTGACAACACAAGTACGGGCTCATCAGCCCCGTGTTTAATAGGCAATCATCACAGTCTGAAACCCATTATGATCATGAACGGTTTAAAAGTAGACAACTATTTTGATGGCTTTGCTCGAGTCAAAATATCCTGTGGTGTTAAACAAAAGTATTCTTTAACTCCGAAATATTATTTTTCACTATCCAAAAAAAAATGTTGGGTTTAAATTGGAACACTGTTGTCATATCTGAGGTGGAGCACTCAGTTCTTGCCTCACTGCACTTAACACGAATTTAATGTGAAGTAGTCAGGTTGGTTGATAATCCAGTCACTAATTCACTCTAGGCACTCACCATTGGGCAGTTGCCTCATTATCGCTCTTCTATCGCAACTACCATGGATACTGTATCCGTTAACTTCCCTTTTTGATTATTTTCTCATACTGCTTGACTATGAAATTCCTTCCCATCGTAAAACAATCCCAGGTTCTTATAATCAGTTTTCACAATTCAAGAATTGCATTACCTCTTAACTATTATATCTTCAATGGTGCTGTTCTTTTCTGACCCCTTGGCATTTTGAGCCATTTGGTCCATGCTCAGCAACTATGATTTTTAAAAAAGGCTATGGTGTGTGTGTGCGTGTTCCACTTTGTGAATTTGTTGTCGTGTGAATTAATATTCCCAACCTCCCTATGCATATCCATTTACACCACAACCAGGCTTATCGGTCCTGCAGGACTTTGAACGTGTTATTTCAGATCCCATGACAAATGAACAACAATGAGCTTCAACACGTCGGGTCTCATAGCCAATATCACAATTCATAATTGATTTTATGTGTTCGGCCACATAATTATCCCCGACCAAATCTGTCACCAGAAAGAAAACCCTCCACCACCCGACACAGACAAGCAAATTAAACTGGCGTGAGGTGCATGGGGCGTTTTTCCAAACGCGCCAATTGTTTTTTTGTTTTCAGGGCGCCACAGTGACGGAATGTTAGCTACCTCGCTCGGTATGCAGGAGGTCGTGGGTTCAATCCCAACCCTGACACTTGCATACTTGGAGTTTGCATGTTCTCCCTCTGGTTGCTTAGATTTTTCTCCAGGATCCTCCCGTCTTTCCCTCCACATTTATAAACGTGCGTTTAGAGTATTTGGCTGCTATACATTTCCACATGATAAGCCACTTCATTGAGCTATCATTTGTGGCCAGGTCACTTATGAAAAAGAGCTATATAGCTCAGTGGGCATTACCTTGTAAAAAAATTAAAAGTTTAGTTTCAGTGAGTTCAAGAATAATTCTCACAAGTGGATTTAGCAACCGTGTTGTGACAGCATGAGAAATAATATGTTTGGCTGTTGTGTGGTGGAGTGTTTCTAATGACACAAAAACCCAAAAATCACTCAAGAACAATAATGATCTTACTTTGTTTACACAGTCGTTAAGGCTCACTGAGTTTTTTTTTCAGGACTGTTTCAGGAGGGTTTTGCTTTGGGGATGTTTGACACATCACTTGTGAGGAAACTGGAGTGTTTGAAAAAATACAGGTAAAAGGGGATATCGATCTAAATCATCGCACTCCACACATTTGCTGCACTGCCTCCTATAGGCACCTCAGGGCTCTGCAGGTGGGTGCATCACACAATCTTCATCTCTGCGTGATACACCAACCCTGCCTTAGAGGCGCTACAATGTGGGAGTGTGCCACCAAACGCAACCTTGAGATGAGGAAGTGAGCTTCTGAGCGAGCTTCCTCTTATCCACGCCACTATGGGGGGTACTATGGGCAGTTGACGTTATATCCTTGCTGACACGTGAAATTAACTCCCTTCTATCCCTACAAAGGAGCACGGATACATGTAGAAAGCAGGATGAATGTGCTACTCTTAGCCGCGTGAAAGTGTGGATAATAGTTAGAATCATGCACTTCCAGGGTTAATTAAGACTGTGTCATACTCATTGATAGTAAGGTCCATTGATCAATTCAGGGTCTGGATAATAAGAAGAGTGGGTAAAAGTAAGTCAGACAAGAGGGGTGTCACTGTGCGTATATAGTGTACTCGAAATGTAAATTAACAATGTTACATGTCAATTGACGCATTTGTTCTCTAATGGATCTTCTCCAAAGAGCCGAAAAGTCCTTTACGCACAACGAGGCTGAAAATTAAACATCGTTGTCAGCGAATGTACCAATTAAACCTTTCCAAGCCAATTTATTATTGCACGTAGCTGAATTTTTTTAAGTTTTGTTCACGGCTTAGACACTTATTCATTTAAATCATTAATTTCTGCTTCACATGAGAACTTAGGACATACTATTTTTGGTGATTTATTTTAAATTTTAAATTATTGACTTCATTTGTGGCTTGGTCAAAAATTATTGTCTGCGTAACCTTTAATTTTATTCCTGCAGAATTACAGGACATTACACATTTCTGATCAGAATATCCCACGATCCTTTTTTTATATATATTTTAAAAAATGTAAAGCAAAAATCACTCGTGTTAAGTCAGAATGAATCATTTTGAGTTCATGTGTTCATTTAATGTGTTGGATGATAATGAAATATTGAGGTGTTTATAGAATTCGGTGACATGTGCTTGACTACTGATCTTCTAAGTGATACTTTCAGAATTGATTTTGCATTCATGTGAGAAGACATTCAAGATATATTATGCTGAACAAGCATTCTCAGCTGGCTGGCTCTGTGGCAGAGGGCCTGACTCAAAATCCCAACGCTTTAAGTTCCAATCCTCAGACGTCGTCTCAGCTGATAATTATTGGTCTGAATTTGGAACAACCATGCCTGATGATAAGTCAGTGGCAGTAATCCTATGTAGGGAATGGTTCCATTCACAAGAATGTGGAATTTCCACCACTGTCTGAGAGCCACTGATGTAAAAAATGTACGCTGCACGGCTTGTTTAAGCAAAAATACACTTTCATTATCTAAATAAATGATCGTTTGCAGCCAAGACTAATCGACTGCTTGATGAAGGCCTCCACATCCACATTCGTGTATAGACATTTTTGGAATCATGCTAAACCCGAGCTTGTGATTTTTCCATACAAGTTCATGAACATCAATGCTTTCATTGCAAAAGAGAATTATTTAAATGCACAAATGACAACATGTACGATCGCAGAAACATAATAATGTAGTGCGTTATGTTGTATTTGTTCCAAAGCTTTACCTGAAGGAGTTAAAATCACCCTTGGCACCTAAAATGGAGACAAATACAATGCTTAACAAAAACAACCGTCATGCACAAGTAGAAAATTCATTCCACAGATACAGCGAATAACATTGTACACTCACACTGAGTGGCTGACTGGCTGGCGAGTGTGTAATATACAATAGAACGTTTTGTTGATTCATATCAAGCGGCGGCCCAGTCACCTTGCACAGCACTACCAAAGTGCCCCATCCTTCCGTTTAATGGAACATCAAATGATTTTACATTATTCACAAGAAGCAGGGCATTTTTCTGGACCAATACCATGGTCTAAATTTCAATACCTGGTAAGTAAATACAATTAGAACACTTACTGTCCTATTTGCATTTTATACAGGTGCACAAAAGCTTTATCTAATCCTTAAGATTATCAACAAATGTGTTGAGTTATTTGTATTCAGGTGAGTAGAGCAAACAAGGGTATGGTATGATCAGTACCATGGCCTGCCACCATTCACAGTTGAGTATATCTAGGGGGAAACTCTGGGCAGATACAGATACAAATTAGTACTGGCATTGTGCATGGCCAGGTATAGAGCCCAAGTTTTCTGGGATTGTAGCGCACTATGCTAATAACGTATAGTACTACTTATACATCATATGCATATACACAAAAATCATCATCAGCCATGGTCATATCCACTGCTGGATGAAGGCCTCAACCAATCCACCAACATCTCCCATAATCCTACGGTGCAAAAACCCACCGAGCTCCTGCACAAAGGCTGCTGGTATCACTCCATCTCCCCGATATGCTTTTCATTAGACACATTCATAGATATAAATACAAATATAAATAACATATAGCACGTGCAACAAAAAAAATGTAATCACTGAGGAAGATTTGAAACATCCACTGAGAATCAAAACAAAACTGTAGCTCCAACCTTCATGCAAATCCCGAGAGAATACCACAGGACCCTTATGAAATATGCTTCACAAGGGAGATTCCAGGTCTACAATTTCAATTAAAAACTCTCCATAACAGCTCGTGGAGAATTGCAAATTAATCTCTCGGGATTTCGATGACATCTCAATCTCCTATCGGGATATTGCAGGACTCCTTCAGGATTCCAATGAAATGTTTTAATCTCCTGTCAGCTCCTTCGGGATTTGTGAAATACCATTTCCGAAGTCGGGCCCGCCCTCTCGCTTTGCAAAGGGAATGCAATAATAATGCCGGGCACGAGCCTGCAACTGCGTTGCATTTTGCGTCTCAATTATGTAACCAAATCTCATTAGCCGCTCGTGCAGGCCGAGTAATTGTGTTATCCGAACACTGGAAATCTTACAAGCGCAACGGCCGGTCCCAGAAGGTTACGGTTGGAATGTCTGCAGAGAAGACGTTGTTTCGATGCTGGCACAAGCGACCTTGCCCAAGAAAGAGATAGATTGGTTACGTTTGGTGCTGCTGGAGAATGGGCCGTGTGTGCAAATGCACTGCAGGTATAACGATTCCAAACAGCCACATTACAAGCCAGAGAGAAGGTAAATGCAATGTCTGTTGAGAAATTAATTGTGGGTGACATCTCGGTGGAGAGTTGGTGGTGGGGGGAGGGGCGTTTACATGATGGTTGAGGCAGCACTGTACCTTGTCGACACACGGTACAATGCTAAGAGTCCATGCGGAAATGAAAAGTGGAAGGGCATCATTTGAAATATTAAACTAATTGTTTTATTTCACCAAGTAAAGAGCTACATAGATCTTTTTCAGAAGCGAGGGCTTTGACAATGGAAAACAAATAGCAAATATCAAGTGATACTTCACATTTCTCCCCACCCCCCCATGTCCTAACTGGCTTAATATCACAGATCAAGGCCTCAGAGAGAGATTGTGATCTCATGAATAACAACCCCTCATCTCATCGTTGGAGTCACCCACAAAATGAAATTATTTCTGGTGCATTACGTCGTTTCACATTCAAAAGACATGGCAATGGTGCCACCGCCCAACGGAAATAAAAACACAGACCAGTCCTCTGTCATCTCACTACTTGAAAGCCTTCTAGACGTACGGCATACTGAACATATTAGGACAGATTTTAAAGAATACAATGTAAACAAACTCAACAAACAAATGACAATTTTGGTCTAGAAGAGTGCGCAGTTGTTTAGCTTTGACAAGGTCCCTCGAGTTGAAATGGCTCACGATATGGCCCTTAAAACATTCCACGAATAATTTTTAAGCATGGATGCACAACAAACAAAGTGTAAACATGAGGTCAGTCCGCGTTGCAAACAGCTGTTTTTAATATACAGCACATGCGCGGCTTTTGGCCCATAGAGGCATATGTCACAAATGCCTCTTTCCCCAGAAGAGGCATCCGCTGCTAATAACGGTGCTCCGTGTTCACGGCGAGGAGGGACACTACAGGCTACGGCCCAAAACATTGCAGGAACCCGAACGATTTAATCGCAAGCAGATGATGATAGGAAAGTGGGCCCCCGCATCGTTCACGTGAAATATGTCGATGCCGCTGTGTGACGCCGGCCATTGCTGCCGCTTCGCAATTTATCGCCGGGCATTTTTGTTCGCTGGGAATCGTCGTGGAACGCAGGTCTGCATGACTCGAGTGTGCCCCGGGAAGCGTTCCCGACGCCAATGGGCATTCCACCGTTAAGCGATTCCTCATGAAGTCCACAGTGACATCCCATGAATTGCAACGGCAAATCGCCTTACTCAGCCAAACCCGGGTGAGCGAGGCTACGGATGGAAAAGCCAACATAAAAAAAAAAACACTGTATTCGTTTCCAAAGCCCCAATGAGAGAGAGAGAGAGAGACTGGTCAAGGATGATGAAGCCAAAATTGTGTTACTGTTGCATTCAAACTAAATCAAAGCATGGCGGTGATGCAGTTGCAGTCTGCTTCTGTTGATGAATAATAATAAAAACCTCAAGACTTCACTGCTCCTAGCTACAGGAGCAAAAGGCCACCATTCCCATTGCCCCTCAACCTGCGGCGATTCCATCGGCCAACGTGGAGCAGCTCACCTCGATGCACCGTGCACCGACGCGACGTAGCCGAGGTATACGAGGTCCTCACCTTGTCAGTGGAGGTGAGCGGACTCAAAGCATCACTGTGACATTACAGGGACTCCCTCTACTTACAAACGCGTTAGGGTCCAGAGGCATGTTCGTAAGTCGATTTGTTCGCAAGTCCAACTTTACTCCTGTCGATTCCAAACGTGTTGTACGGCGTGTACACTAAACACGGGGAATGGCTTCAAAAGTTGAATAATCTCCCACAGATGCAGATGCCACTGGTTCTTTATGTTCTGCAGACATAGATGCCACCACCACCATCTATTGCTTGGCGCTTAAACGTACGACTTTCGGTCCGAATAGGCAACGTTATTTGTTTGGTACGATGTGCGACGTTTCGCTCCACGTGCTGGCAGCTTCTTCAGAAACAGAATTCAGTTCGTGAAGAAGCTCGCAGCACATACAGTCTGGCATAACGCCGGACAATGCTCAGAACAACCCAAAGACGCATCGGAGGAGCTAACATTACCCAGCAAGATTATAGTGAGTCCGAAAATCACATGGATTTGACTCTCAAATCTTTCATCTCGTGAACGAAGCTTCGAACTCTTTGCCGAGCCCACAATACGCCACGTCGGAGTGTTTGTAGAAAACGTCACGTCACCCGATTGTTATTTTGTGCTGCGCGTTGCTTTAAGCAAAATTACAGATCAAAACACACGGTAAACATCTATTCACCGTAAATAATGCAAGCTTCGACAAATAAAAGTTATGAGGCCCTGTGAATTCCAGTGCTGCTTGTGAGCACACACGCACGCGCGCACACACACACAGAGTTGGCTGTCGCGATAGAAGAGATGTACATACTTTCTCCAAGGGCTTTATTGATGAGATCATGCTTGGCCTGCAGCTTGGTTATAAGGTTGCTTCCATTCATGAACTCCTTGAATTTCTGTTACGTAACAAGAATGAAATGCAGAACACGATTATACTCATTGTTACATATCCATTACTTCGGTAAAAAAAATCTCTAAGTGCGATTTCCCTTTTTTCTTTTCCCCCTTTTTATAAACTCGTGTTAATGGTGAGGTGCTCCAATTGTACACGCGACGAGACCTTTGTAGTCAACACTAGTTTTTTAAAGTAACAACGATCGTGGCGATAATGGAAAGATGCCTTTGGAGGCTCGGCGAGAACTTTCTCGGGTGAAACTGAAAAAGTTCGTCGATGCTCAAAGGAACATTGAGAAAGGTGTTCATCTTCGTGGGTGGTCCTGATCGAGCGAGTGGAGTCTACGTATGCTGCGATGGCGATGACAGTGATGATGATGATGGTGATAATAATTACGATGAAAATGTTGGTGACGATAATGATGATGGTGGTGAGAGAACATTTTTTGAGATAAAGACTTCCTTTGGTAAACAAAGGACAGTTATTAGGATTATTATTACGTACATGATAGATTATCGCGAATAGTATATTTTGTATTTGCACCAATCTTTAGTGCAACGCTAACATGAAGCCGCGATGTTTGACACAGGTGTATAGTCCGTCAGTAGGGGGCGGAGTTGCAATGTCGTTTTAGCCAAATTCGGTTATTATGTCATTTTACCAGCACACACACGTGGCCTCTCTCTTTGAATAATGCCACGGGCCATTCAACTTCCACTGAGAACAAGCGGCGCGTCCAATCGTTCTGTTTAAAGACACCAGCCGTATCAACCAGGGCGGCCGGCAGATTCGAACCGTGAAACCTCTGCAAACATGCTGCCGCTCGGCCACGCAACCGCCCTCGTCCGAGTGCCGTGGGCCCACCATGAAGTAGAAGGACTCGGTCTCCTGCTGGTTGGCGCGCCGCTTGGCCACGTTGGGGCGGCTCATGTACGTCTCCGAGGTGGCGGACTTGACAGACTCGGTGGAGCGGCTGTGCTGGAAGGAGTCGGACATGTCAAAGTCCTCGATGGTCACCATGTCCTGCAGGGTCTGCAGGGTCGCCTCCATCGTCTTCTTTACCTGTTTTGTTTTTTGGGCGTCAACAATTGAGACAATGAGGTTGTAATAATGATCACAATACTGTATATTGGGTGAACGTGGCTGGGTGGTGCCAGACTCACAGTTGGAGGGGTCACAAGTTTATATATTTAAGGTCGAGGTTCATTTCTACCATAGTGGTTGTGCTAACAGACTTGTCTCTAAATTTTGATTTAAAGCTTTCGCGACTGCAGGGATTCATATTCTTGGTTCTTTCAGTAAAGTCACGTAGAAGGGAAACAAATGAATGTGGAGCATCCACCCCTGGCTCAGGGCCATAAATAGAAGTGAAAACCACTCCGTGCTCATGTTAGCAGAGGCACTGACTTAATTTTGGCCACCGCTGCCAGCAGTTCTACTCAAAGAAGTCAATAACAAAGTGTCTCCCTGCTCTAACAAACACTGGACAGTGTTCACCGGTTTAATTACAGGCAGCTGTTTAGATTCGAATCCAGCATCCCAGCGGCGCTGGCACAGCACTCTGACCTCTGAGCCACCTAACCACCTCGAATGGTGATCATTTTAGTGGTGTGGGTTGATTCCCATCTAGATGGCCACACAGCTGATTACTGCTACTATGACCATGTATTAAATATGCTGTCAGCTCTTCTCTATACCTTCTGCCCTTTATCACTGCCCTCTCCTGCATAAAAAAACAATATAAATAGCAACACAGAGGCGTTGAGTGTCACGCTCCACGAAGCCCTCACCTCCTCGTTCTCGATGCGCAGAGTGGCCAAGCGAGACTGCAGCTGCTGGTAGCGCGACACCAATTCAAGCTGCACCGGCTGCTGGGCACTGACCTGGCTCACCTGCACACCCAGTCAGAGCAAAAATAGGGATCTTGAAATCGCACGGAAATTCGAATGATCACCAACGTGATTGCGTTTGTAGCCTACAACCTCCCAAAATTCTTTACCTCCACACTATAAATGGACGCCGTTGCAAGACTCCTCATCCGCCACCTGTGAACATGATCACATCACCGCAGACCTAAGAACTCTCCACCAGCTCCAGATCTAATCTCACATCAACTACCAGATCACTCCCACAGTCTTCAAGATCCTCGAAGGAGTTTTCAAAGCCTACCCTCTCTCCCTGCTCATCTTGTCCTATCTCCTTTCATGTGCTCTAGGCTCCAGCAACTATAACCTTCAGTTAAAAGCCCTCAGTCAACTGCTGATCATTAGCAGGTTGCTCCTTCTCAGCTGTTGGCCCCTGTAGAGTATTTGGCTGCTATACATTTCCGCGTGCAAAGCCACTTCGTTGAGCGACCATTTGCGGCCAGGTCACTTTTGAAAAATAGCTATGTGGCTCAGTGGGCCTTAACTGGTAAAATAAAAAAAAGTTGATAGTTTAGTAGTCCCTCTCCCCAACTATCCATGCTGCTGATTCCCTCCCACAGTTCAGATCTAGACTCAGGACCTTCACCTTCTCTTCTGCCTATCACTGTCTGCTATCCGTGACCCATCTCAAATATCACATCAGACACATCTCCCTGCTTTTAGTTTGCCCCACGGTGCATAACATCACACTTTCTGTACAAAGTCTTCAGATGCAACTGCTTTACGACGGCAGATATATTCAAATTTATATTTTAGAATTGTTGAAGGACTCGCTGCGTTTCACTCGCTGCGTCTCACTCATACAAAACATTTCCTTGATCTTACATCCGTTTTTTTCTCTATGCATAATAGACAATTAAAAATATTTGAAACAACATACTAAACGGTGCCCATTGACCTAAGGTCAGGCTTTTCTGAAGCCCTGGCTGTTAATGTTGAACATTATACAAGCAGCGATGTAGAGTTTGTTAAACCCTTATGCATTTCGAACAAATTAAGTGGCGATGCTGCTGCGTTGGCAGCGGTGCACAAGCACAATTAACAACAACATCAAAGTGAAAACACATTCGTCAATAAGATCGCGGCCTTAAATGAGGAAATATAGAAAAGCAGTCAACGTTTTGGGCAGTGGCCTTCCTCGTTGCCCAATGGCCCATCTTGACAGCACGTGTGCTGTGTGCATGCATATACAGTCATACCTCGGTATACGACCGCTTTGGAATACGTCGTGTTTTGACGAGGAACAAATGTCTTGGGATACGAGGCGCTTGCTAGAACTTGTCTGGGTCGGGATGAGTCACCGCGTACCCGCGAAGACCCCGTTCACGACTGAAACAAAGCTCCTCAGCCTGCCTGTAGATCTCGTTCAGTGCACAACTCTTGCTGTAACTCGTAGGCTATCAACTCCTCTCAGCAAGGTAAAGTGATGTTAAATTTCATTTTAGTTTCAATTTGTTTTAATTTATTTTAATTTATTTATGCATTTATTTTAATGTACGCATGCATTTTGGTAATAAGTAGTGCCTACATTATTTTATACAACCACATTAATGTATAATGTGCCATATAAAATATAATTTCTTATACTCGTGAACGGATTATTTCCTTTCCATTTATTTCTTATGGGAAACATTCGTTTGGTATTCGTCATTTTCGGTATAAGTCCTCCTACCTTCTGGAACGAATTAACGACGTATACCGAGGTACCACTGTATTATGAATGTTGAACTTCGTCTGCCCGTACGAAGCCAACCGTGCTAATCGGAGGTGCTCTGAAAGAAGGGCTATTGCCTGAGACGAAATAAAAACCTTCGATAAATACATATTTTAAGGTCGAAGTGTTATTGACGAATGAGTCGAGTCCTCATTCATTTCAGATGTTTTAAATTCACCTTTGTAATGACATTAATTTTAGTTAATTGGCATGCTAATAATAACCGTGCCTTAAGATAAGTATCCATTCACACGATGTTGCATAAAGCTCCAAGCTGTGTCATAACGAGTATATCACAGGTTCCATAGTTCCAGTAAAGCAATAACATTAACCAAAAGGAATTTTTAAGAGTTAACAGGAAATGAATACGTATGCAAAAAAACCACAATGAGTGACTTGTGTGTGGAGTGGTGAATGGGATATCCAGCAAGAAATTAATTGGCTTCATGAGGCAATTTCCAGGTCATAAATGTTAATGACCTGAGCTTTAATGAGCCTTGTCTCAAAATTAATTCCGTAAAAAACACTGCGAAATTATATTAAAAACAAATTTACACCAGAGGTTATACTGGTCAATCTTGATTTGAAGCTTTCGTGACTGCAGGAATCCTTACTCTTTGGTTCTTTCGGTAAAGTCACGTGGTAGGTATAAAATAATAATAATAGATCACGACGTTTCGATCGCAACACAAGCGACCGTCTTCAGGTGAGAGAGAGCCTCAGGGTAAGAGGGCGGGGCTAGAGATGGTCTGCCTGAGGCTGTGGAAGCAGCTATTGTCGTACAATACAATTGTATTGGTCAAATTTAGCACCAAAAACGTACCCATCTTTTTCTATGAACACGCATCCATGGAATTAAAAGACAGTGAAAAAAACATAAACGGTAAGGTCACTTCAGTTATGCACTCATAAAACAATCAATGTTGGTTGCTCAATAAGTATATAATACATTTTGTGAAAGCAGGTCCTGTGAGAACACACAGCAACATGAAGTGTCACTGAAAAATGCTGACAAGACTTTGAGAAAAGCTATAGACAGCCTGCAGCAAGGGAGACACAAACACATCTCACTCTCACAAGGGCTCATCGGCAGGCCAAGCACAGCCACAGATAATAGGATGGCCATGGTGCTAAAGGTGATGCGATCACAGGCTTGCCATGGAGTTCGGACTGTAAGTTGTTTGAGAGGCATTGTGGCAGAGTACTCAGCTGAAACAAAAATAGAAGGGTGCAAGCACAAATCCTGGGCTGGAGATGGTAGATCAAGTCTGCTCATCATCCCTTTGGGGGTTACTGAAAGCAATATCACATTGTGGAAGGTTTACAGAACTTTTCATATGCAGCAACTAGCCACTGCTAAAAATATTAAATTTCCACCACTGGTTCATGGTCACTGATGGATATCAAGCATTGCCAAATTCCAAATTGAACGTGGAGACACTCTTGACTATAGTGAAATCTAGCTCTAGCGTTATTTACGGACCTGGAAAAATATTGAATAAGAGAACGCTATGTTCCTTCTCTATCACACTCACTTCATCCTCTCCTGCTACTGCTGCTGCTGCTTCTTTGATGCCATATGTCTCTACAGAGTTTCTCTCTCGTTCCATACTTCTCTCGTGCTGTTTCCCTCCCGCTCAATACATCTCCTGTGCTTTTTGTGTTTAATTTGTTGTCCTTCACCCACACCTCCGGTTGGCTACGCACGGTGCAAAAGAAGTTCATCAATCATTCATACATCTATCTGTGCCTCTCTCGCCCAGGAGAGTAACATCTCCCGCTCGACGTGGCCCAATGTTGACGAATGAAACATCACAGCGGCCACCTCATTATTGAGCACTGGACGACATGGACAGAAGTGAAGAGAGGTGCCGTGCGGGGATGTGTGGGGTAAAAGAGGTGGAGACACGACACAATAAACGCGTAGAGTGACGACAGAAGGAACACAGCAGAGAGACACGTTGGGAAAAATGTAATGAGTGAAATTAGTTAATCTTGTTTACTATATGACTAACATAGCATATTATATCGATAATAATATAGAATATCTGTAATATATCTATAGGATTAAATTACATTCTTTCTTTCAATAAAATCTACATGGATGTTGTCAGTGGCGGTGGCCGGTAGAAATGGCACAAGGAAAACTAGGGAAAAAAATGGCACAACGAAACGGGTTAGGGTTCGTCATCTCTTTTAAGTCAGACCTTTATAGAACTGTTAGCACGGTAATCAGAACTGTCAGCACAGGTCCCTGTTCACTGTGCCATTTTTATCCCTGTTAGCACGGTTCTTCTAACTGCTAGCACAGGTCTCTGTTCAATGTGTCATTTTTATCCCTGTTAGCACGGTTCTTCTAACTGCTAGCACAGGTCCCTGTTCACTGTGCCATTTTTATCCCTGTTAGCACGGTTCTTCTAACTGCTAGCACAGGTCTCTGTTCAATGTGTCATTTTTATCCCTGTTAGCACGGTTCTTCTAACTGCTAGCACAGGTCTCTGTTCAATGTGTCATTTTTATCCCTGTTAGCACGGTTCTTCTAACTGCTAGCACAGGTCTCTGTTCAATGTGTCATTTTTATCCCTGTTAGCACGGTTCTTCTAACTGCTAGCACAGGTCTCTGTTCAATGTGTCATTTTATCCCTGTTAGCACGGTTCTTCTAACTGCTAGCACAGGTCTCTGTTCAATGTGTCATTTTTATCCCTGTTAGCACGGTTCTTCTAACTGCTAGCACAGGTCTCTGTTCAATGTGTCATTTTTATCCCTGTTAGCACGGTTCTTCTAATGCTAGCACAGGTCTCTGTTCAATGTGTCATTTTATCCCTGTTAGCACGGTTCTTCTAACTGCTAGCACAGGTCTCTGTTCAATGTGTCATTTTTATCCCTGTTAGCACGGTTCTTCTAACTGCTAGCACAGGTCTCTGTTCAATGTGTCATTTTTATCCCTGTTAGCTACGGGTTCTTCTAACTGCTAGCACAGGTCTCTGTTCACTGTGCCATTTTTATCCTGTTAGCACGGTTCTTCTAACTGCTAGCACAGGTCTCTGTTCACTGTGCCATTTTTATCCCTGTTAGCACGGTTTCTTCTAACTGCTAGCACAGGTCTCTGTTCACTGTGCCATTTTTATCCCTGTTAGCACGGTTCTTCTAACTGCTAGCACAGGTCTCTGTTCAATGTGTCATTTTTATCCCTGTTAGCACGGTTCTTCTAACTGCTAGCACAGGTCTCTGTTCAATGTGTCATTTTTATCC